TTACATATTTTCTTCTCACTAACGGCGCAAACATATTTCATTTTAATCTTTCCACACTGGAAAATAAAAATAATATGCGCGAGGATAGATATAATGAGTTTAATAATCCAAGATGTGTACAATTTGAAAAGACGGTTCAAGCACATTATCATCCTTCTAACATTATAGATGACGATTTCAACGCCACTCACCACAAATTGCCTCGTGATTCGCTGACGAGAAAAAATCGTCAATAAGAGGGAACGTTAAAATAAAAAGGACAAGAAAAATAAAGGTAAATATGAAGGAGGAATAGTGAGTGATCCTGTGGAGAAAAGAAGAATTAAATTTGAACAGGAGTAGAGGCAATTATCCCAAGGAGGATGAAAAAACGTCGGGGATAACGGTTAAGAAGCGGCAAGGGGGATGGCGCTACCCTTCGGAGAAGAGAGGATGAGGCCTCTCCGTCTGCTGGAATTAAACATTCTTTTATCTTTTCTTACGTCGTTTTACCGCCTCTTCGTTCACGACGTACCTCCTCTCTTGCCCTCTGTTAATCAATCAAAAAATCATGAAGAAACGAATTAAACCGTGCCAGATGGAATTTAACAGCGCCGCGCTGCTGTTTTTTCAACGATATAAGCTTATTAAAGCAACAGGAAAAGTCAAATTCTATCCTCTAATTCATTGAACATTGCTTTTTGTTTTCTGTAATGCCCCACCAATGGGAATCTAGTGAGACAAACAATTAGCAAAATAAATGACTCGCTACGGACAGAATACAGAGAATACAGATCGCAAGTAGGCCGGCTAACCGAGTTATCGCACCCCCTCAAGTGCCAAGCGAAAACCACTCCATTGTATTCACCTCTCCCAGTATCTTTTTCTCTTACATTCTACTTGCGTATATGTACAGACACCTCTCATCCCCCTGTGCTTTCTCTCTTGCCATTCGGTAAAATCCCCCCGGTACTAAATAAATGTTTCACCCGTGAGGCTACCTATATATTAGGCACTACGCGTATGCGGTGCGCCTGTGGATATACTTCTATACGCTACTATTCTCTGATGCTGTGGCCCTTATGGCACTCTCCCAGTATTAACTCCATCCTCGTGGCCATGAGAACTTGAACTACAACGCAGTATCCACTTACTTCTTACTGTCTAGATGTATATAGAGTGTATGGATGATCGTAGACAACTTTTGTGTCACTGAATGTTTAAAGAATACCTGAATGTGACCGCTGGTGTATATATATATATATATTTACCAATTCCCTCGGCCAATATCCCAGCGACTTGGCAGTTTTAAAGTTTCTACTTTGGTTTCCGAAACCCGAGATACACCGAGAGATTCTAGGCCCACTGGGGAATACAACTTTTGGCTCTCGTTGACTTTCACGCGCCAGTCCATTGAGACTGCGCCACCACCACCGCATCCCTTCGTAATTGGCCATTTTCTGGACTTTATCGGGGGCCAATATTGGGAGAGAATTAGATTGCTTGAAATTTTTGTAAAATGCCAGCAGCCGCTTGATGTAATACAGAATGTCTAGATTAATCCAAGGTTGAAGTGTGCAGTGCGTATAATGAGTTTAAATGCATTTTCAAGCGCTCGAGAACAGCGTAGAGGTCGTTACTTTCACACATTACATATTGCACTGAAATATGGGTTACCGCGCGCCGTGGGAGCTGATCTTCATTATTCTTCTTTATGCAAAAACCAAGGCGAAAGTTGAAATCACATTGGTCATGCTTGATCCAAGGATTAATAATTTCTGATTGATGAAAAAGTGATTACTCCCTCTGTCAAATACAATGATACAGTTGTCCCCAAACTCATTGTCATATACAATAGAGAACAATCACCTGTAACTGAGACTCGTGGCAGCCGAGCACCCTTAATCGATCTCCCACTTGGCGATTAAATTTCACAACAAGTGCCAGTCGAGCATATCGCTCATCAAGCTATATTGGCCCCTCATGCTCTCTGGCGCGTTCCAATACGACTCGAGGGGGGGTGCAGGGGAGAAAAAAAAAACTATGACATACACAATGGGCGAAAGAGTAACCGGGGGGGGCATTTTTCTCTCACACGCCCCGTTGCAACTCCCCTGGGCATGTCACTGGGGAATTACTGAAGTAGTTAGAGCAACGAGGTGTCGCACAGTCAGCGGGCATTCATGAGAAATTGACGTGTCTGTTTTGTATCAGTGATGCTGCTCACATCCCTCATTCACCATTTGATCACTTACTTTTCGGTTTTATTAATCAAATACACTTAATTGAATATTAAATACGCAATGTTTATAATTAACTGAGGGAAAAAATTGTTTTATTAATAAATAGGAATGGAGGGGCGTCATTCTCTTGGCTTGAGTCCTCAAGCGCCCCCACCCCCCCACAAAAGGGGTGATCCTATATCCTGCGTATAAATAATTTTCAGGCCGGTGAAAAGACCCGAGTGACGTGAGGATACCGGCCCAAATTGATCCCTAATCCCAACCCTCGAGATGAGAACAATTGCCATAAATAAATGAAGAAAAAGAAAAACAACCCCCAGCTGGCTCTTACAGACCATTAATTGTTACATCGACGTTTGAATCACATAACTGGCATCCAATACGAGATTATTGAAAGAAAAATTGATGGCCGGCACACGGTGCTGGCTCAGGAATGATGGGACAATTATGAGATTGAAATTCCATTTTCTCCCCCCACCTCTTCATCTTCATCTTCATCTTCATCTTCTTCATCTCCTTCTTCTTCTTCTTGTGGTTATTGCCTCAGGCCCCGGAATATGTACGAAGGGGAATGGGGAGGGGGCAAGGGAGGCATAGCTCTCGTAATTAACCTCATGAAAACTATCGGTGGATCATTGCTGGGATATTACGTGGCTTCGCAAACGCTTATTTGCAAACCTCATGAAAGGACCATCATGGAAAAAAGGATGTAAGTGAACGTCTATACACGTACGTGAAGGTATATCAGCATGCATATTCTCATTATGATGATTCTAAAGTCGTAAATATCAATCCGTTACGCAGCAGTAAATATTGAGATGAATTATAGTTCAGCAATTTTATTGCTGTCTTACGTGGAAAATGATGAAAGCTTTGAAAAAATTGCTTACATTTGGATTGCTTTTACTTGAATAATCAGTGGAATTGTAAGCATTTACATATATTGCTGTGGGCCACATAAAAGTGGAGGTATGATGGATCAACGGAAATTATATATTTACAGTATGATTTTAAGTCATATCCCAGAGGCCTCGTTCAATCGACAGTGTGTGTACTGTGCTTTTAAACGCATGAGAAATTGTCTGTGAATTATTTAAAACGCTCAGAGCTGTGTTTCATGAAGCAAGAAACTCTGCGGTGATACTTGAAGAGCTGACAGAGGGGTTGGGGTGAGAGAGAACAAGAGATAATGGAAAGGGGAGAGAAAAAAAAACACACACAAGCCCGAGGTGCGAGTGGGATGATGTGAGGTGTTGCAGAAGAGGCGAGAAAAAGAGTGAGAGAGGTAACCAAGGCAAGTATATGTGGAATAAAAAGAGAAAGATGGAGAATTGGAGGTTGGCTCGACTTGCGCGCATTCACGTAATTAAGTCCCACAGCTTCTACTACGGCATGCGACGAAGCGGCGGGCGGTTGAAAGCGCGAGAAAGAGACAGAGAGAGAGAGAGAGAAATGGATCGGAGTTAGTTTGGCGAATTGGTGAGAAAGGGAGAGCCAGAGAGTGTGGCCCAGTGCAGGGCAAATGTGCGAGGCAGGAGGAGGAACGCAGGGTTGAGGGAGAAAAAAGAAGGAAAAATGAGTACAACGAAGAAAAAAAAATGACGAGGCCAATAAATAATACAGGGGAAAAAGGCGATCGCCTGCAACATTCTGTTCAAATGTTAAATAGGTATCAATTTGATTTGGACCAATGGGAGAGGGTGTAGGCGTGCCTTGGTGGGATTTCATTGGATGGAGACGGAGAATAGGCGTGGTTGGTTGAACGCGGGCCATTCGATTACATGGTAACGTCACGGTGGGGATAACCACCTGGTATCACGAGTCCCGAGTAGTCAGAATCACCGAGCTGATTCACTCTACCACGACGAAGCGAACACGCTGGTTCACCGACAGAGATTGGTCTGTGATTTGTTTTATTTATTTTTTTCACTCCTCCTGCCGATTTGTCGATTTAAATTGCAACCAGGTGTTTGATCGATTGAACATGTATTAGTGCTCTGTGACTCGTCATTCATGGAATTTAATCAATTGTGATGATTAATTGAAAGTGACTGGTGGAAATGGACTCGATCGGTAAACTGTTGGTTAGTGCTTGTGTTCATCAACAGAGAGGAGAAATCGAAAAAGTTTGTGAGAAAATATATTGAAAACTATGGAAATTATATTTAATGAATTCTTAAAACTGCTAATGTGTGTGGGCGAATATTCATAAAATCCTGCTTCACGTACACTGGAATATGAAAAAAATAAACGGTGGAAATTGAGCACAACAACAATTACACAAAACTGCCGTACCGATCATCTGAATGATAGGGTAGGGAAAACGAGGTAACCGTATATGTATATATTTATCGCACAGGGTTGGTACTGATACCAGGTAAAAAGTAAAAAAGTTAAGAGAGAAAGAGGGAAAGAAAAGAAAAAAAAATTTGAGGGGGAGAGGTATAAGGAGAATGTTGGCCACCTTACCTGGAAAAGCCTTCGTGAATGTTTATGGCCCATAAAATGGCCGACGAACAAACGGGACAGAGATACGGATACGAACGTAAGGAGATGCTCGCGGCAGGCCGCGTACGTGCTCCATAATTTCCAAATTACCGAGGCTGATGTTCATCGTTGTGGGAGAAATTTGAGAGGAAGATAGCTCCGCCGAAATTATAAATTTCGTTAATTTGACATTCACCTGATGCTCTTGTTCATCAAATATAATTCAATGGATGCAGTATTTTCATATTAGCACAATATCAACTCACTGATTGATTAGAGGAGTAATTCAACATGTCTGATCACGGCGACAGCGAAGTTGATCCTTCAGAGGAGATCAACGTTGATGAACTTGACTCGCGAAGTTGTTCTCCGCGTAATTACATCAACTCAACTGACAATCAACAGAATGAAGCACCGTCGGAATGTTCAACATCACCCCCACCGATACACACTAAGACACCGAGTGATACATCACCCCGCAGTCATCCGTTTAGTATAAGTCGTCTCCTGGGTGATGGTAGTGGTAGGAATCAGGCAAAGAGTCCTAGCTCCGATGATCCAGACAGTGATAAAGAACGAAGATCCTCGTGGGTCTGGGAGGACAGTAACAATCGCAACTCCAACGAGGATGAGAGGAGATCATGGGGTGTCGAATTGGAGGAAAAAATGTCGGAGAAAGATGATGATGACACAGGCAGTACTCCAGATATGCATGCAACTGGTCAAATGCATCCAGCTGATCTCCTGGCGCCATTTCGACTTTTCCCAGGTGGTTCTGGTTTAATATACACGGGTGGTGGCGTCATCAGGGTCCCGGCCCACAGGCCACCAGGACCAAATGGCCCACCTGGGAACAGTCTCACCACTCAGGCAGGTCTTATACCACCCTGGAGCCTTCAGGCGCTTCAACACAGTCAGCAGCAGGCTGCTGCTGCTGCTGCTGCTGCTGGTCTCCACAGGGCTAGTTTACTCGCCAATCTTGCGCATCCACTTCAAGCCCATCCACATCTCAAGGATCGACTTGCAGGTAAAATCACAGGTCCATCATTATTGTAAATTATTTCATTTATTGCTAAGTTAATTTCAACAAATGGATATACACAAATGCCTACTCAAAATGCACACATATAAATATAGCGGGGGGCTAGACACTGGAAGGAAGGATAAGAGTATCACTGAGATGCCGCTGCCGACGCCGCACCTCGGTGTGAAGTACGTAATTAGAGTACACTTAAACGAATTCCCTGCTGTCGTGTTTTTCGTGCGGATAATGAAAGCTAAGAATTATATTGCCATAGCGTGAGTTAAATGTATTCGCCGGTGCGAGTACAATATTATACTTGGCTTGATAGTAATTCCCGGTGCGGCTGTTTCACTTGCCGGAAGGAAAAATCCTGAGCACGCTACAGAGCAGAGAGCAAATGAAGAATCTTTGAATTATACGGTAATGTCTTTTGATATTTCATAGGGGAAAAAAGAAGGAAAGCAGCAGCCTGCTCGTCACTCAAACTCGTAATTCAATCGGTCATCCGACTACTTGTAAAGAAACACTCGAAAAACCATTCAATTATGCCGTCAAAGTCGAAAAATACAATCAAGCATTATCAAGTTCCGAGCGCAAGATTGCATTGAATTCATTTCATTTGCCACATTATCTTTCTCAAATCTATCCAAGTGGGTGGGATAATTGGCGTGACAAGTTTCTGCATGATTAACATTTAATTTATGCTGATAAAGTGAATTGATAAACCATGACAGATGGACAGGATAGCCTCGTTAATTGGAATTATCATATTAATGATTTGGCCGCGGTATTCTTTGCCAATGAAAATGACGTCACGTTTTCTACATGCAGTCCAATATCAGCTATGATGCTGTACACACGTGATCACTTACTTTACTCCTAATGATACAAATCAAAGCATCCCACTTTATGAGGCTAAATCGAACATTGAGCAATGATGGAGCTCAAAGTGCTCTGATGGGTTGTCGCAAAAAGGCCTTTAGCTCAACAACATTGTGCAATTTACGGGTAAACGCAAAGTGTAGATTTCAATTTACCGGTGAACAATATTCCTCCAAATGAGATCGCCAACACTTGTAAGACTCCTTTCCTCATACCAATTCGTTGAAACGCTAAACAGCTCTTGGAAAAGGTCATTACTTGGTTTCTGTTGCCTTTTCATTCGAGTCTATTATACGAAAGGGCTGTTATTATCATTTCTCTCTAATCTGATTTCAATTTCAATATAAATGACATTTTTGGGACTTGACTTTTCGCGAGTAAGTCAATCATCCCAGCAACTTACCTCAGTATCTGTACTGTAGATACAAGCCATATAAACAAGTAGTTATTCAACGACTGAGTGATTCTGGTAAACCACGCGTGCATGCACAAGTAATCTCTCAGCGCATTGGCACGTTTTATCTTTAGTGTCGTTTAATTTCTCGCTACTTCTTACAGATGAAATGACTGTGGCTTCTCGACTCGTTAGTCATTAAATACCCGCCAAAAGGTTTTTAATGTACTGACAAGCAAGCAGCCAAATAAAAGTAAAAAATCTTCCCCCCCCCCCATGCTCGCCAAAAGAGTAGTGTTGTTTTCCCTGAAAGGGGAAAAATCTTGAAAATGAAAAAAGAAAAAAACTAAAATAAAATAAAAGAAAAACATAACAACAAGCATACACTAACAACACGAATAGACACACATGAGTGACCGACGGCAATAACCAAGAGGAGATGTGTCCGTGTATAGCGCAGAGTGGCTTTGGCCTCCGGCCAGAGATAACAGGGTACGTGGAATCAGAGAAAAAAGGCATCGCGTGACCAAAACCTGAAATAGAATCTCTTGCAACCTAACTCCATACTTTGGATGAGTTGCCCTATCCTTTACTAACATATATATATATATATGACAATCACCAATACAATATATATATATATATATATATATATGTTGAATGTTTTGTTGGTATCGACTCACACGCGTTTTCTAAACTACGCCTCGTGCCCCTCTTCAGGTAAGCCCAACAGAATCAGTGGAACAGTGGTCCAATTAAAGGTGACTATATAGATCCACTTCAAACGAATGTATCCCATGCTTCTTATCCGTTTCTTAAGACGTGTTCCACTACTTATTTCAACGTGGGAATCGATTTCATTTCTTCTAATTTTTTTCTCGCTCTTCCTCCCCCTCCCCTCCCCTCCTCTTTCTTTTATTTCATTTTTTTTGTACAACTCAAGGAGAAAAATTATAAAGGGAGATTCAGGCCTTTCACAAAAATCAACTCAAGGCAAATCATACAGTAGCACGGTAATATACTTGAATCTCAATTAGTGCTCATAATCTGGTACGTGAAGAATTCTTCAGCGCATATAAATGCCCAGAGATAAGTATTTTCAATTATAATACCGAATAATTTTCATGTGGTATGCCGATCCGTTGTAATATAAAAAGATGAAACAAGAAAGCGCTAAGTAAGACTCCTGTCACGCTTACTCAACGGCTATGGTGCACAGGCCGTGTGTAACACGGTAGTCGCTCTCGCAGGGGGAATGTTAATTACTAGGTATAAAGTCTAATCATCTATTGGTAAACATTAAACTGACATGTTTCATTTCTTTCTTCCTACATATCCTCACTGATCACAATGTATTATTAATCATGAATTATAATTCGTTGCGGGCAACTGAGGGGGGGAAAAAAAAACGAGCAAAAAAAGGATAATCGTTGGTGTAGATTAATTTTGTCCAATATGCATTAGAACTGTATACCAATATCCGTTTGATTTTTTTTTCTTCGTTTGCGAAAGGCGAAACGGCTGGAATTTCTACGACTGTAAAGAGACCTTCTAGAGGTGCAATGACCGATGATAATGCAAGGGAAGGAGTGCCGGAAGACTTTTAGAGACAGCATATAATCGCGCATGAACGAGTGCAAACTGATCGCGTAAATCCATAAATTTAACTGTCAGCGCTATTGGCTAGAAAAGATGGATGGTGAATGTTAACTGGCCTTTTTATCGCCCTATTCGCAGAATAACTACAATCCAAATGTTCACTAATACACATTATCGTAAGTAAGTTTCCCTCTGCACCTTTTTTCTTTTTTCTTTTTCGTTTTTCTTCTCTCTCAAGCCGGAAATTATCAATATGATTTTCTGCTTTGAGATATTGTGCTCGAAGATATGATTTTTCAGGCGAAAAAATATGTGGATTGTGTTAGCTACCAATTGCGGTGAACAGCAGCCTCACTGATGGTTGACGTTCAAGTACTTGGTAACGATTCCATTTGAATAGTAAACAAGACAGTTATGTTTTTTTTTTATTTGTGAAAGTGTTTCTCGGTAGACAATGATCAGTCCGACTACTATGCAATACGTTACATTATACCGCGTATTTAATTTTGTTTGAGGCCGACGGGAGGAAGTGCTGCGGTGATTTAGTTGATGGTTATAGTACTGAGAATAACTGGAGGTGTTACAGTATCAGTATTTTTAACAATATTTCCCCCATTCCCCTCTTAATTTCCATCAACTCCGTTGGAAAGAGAAACTATTGCGAATTCCTCTCGCCTTATTTGACACTATAGCTATACTGCATTCTCTTATTGCGTAATAATTAATCAGGAGGTAGAGATTATGCTGCCAAGCAACGAGTTTTGGGGTTTGGTGTTGACTGATCGTGTTAGCGTAAAACTTTGGGGGATTTTGGTATTTCGAGGTTGGCAACTTTGAGGTTGAGCGCACAGCTCGTCCATCATTGTTACACCAAATACAACTCTACAAGTTTACAGGGGAATGTATGCGATATGCCTGTGTAGGAAGGCTCACTTTGATGCAGAGGAGTGGTGGTTGGCTTTACATTATTAACGTGACTTCAGTTTAATTTTGCTCCAGTCAATTAGCTGAGTGTCTGTGTACGTCGACAAGATCATAACGCCCATTTATATATATCACACATTAGGGCTATCAAACTATTTTCCCCCTCCATATTAAAGGGTAGAATAATTTCAATTGAGCGGATTGTTGGAAATTTTTTGCTTGGCATATTGGTCTGTTTCTAACATATGCATGAGAAATCGGTAAACGATGGCGTGGAAATATCCCTGTGGGGATGAAATCGTATATAGTCTACTGCTGTGAATGAAAAAGTATTGCCGAGTATTTTTAACTCACCCTCGCTCCAGCCAGGACAATACTTGTTCACTTGGAATTCACCCACACGCATTATTTGCGATTTTTCCGAACCCCTGGAGAAATCCGTGTTATTCGCACTGGCCTTTGCCATGTGCCACTACAGGTTTAACTCTCAAATGGAAAAATTTATGTCACAATGAGTGCAACAAATTTCCGAGAATGGCAAATTCAGCCTAGTACTTTATTCCTGATAATTGTTCGTTAGTTGATGGATCGTTTGTGTTTGTTAAATGGCATGAACAACGCTGATGATGAATATTTAAATAAAATAGCGTTAGACCACACAAAACCACTTGAGTTGGTACTCAGAGTTTGCTTTGTCTCTCGGTAATAATGGAAAAGTGGTTAAATCACCTTGTCAATGCCTCATTCGTGAGATTTCAATTTTCAAAACGAGACCCTTTCAAATAGACGTAGCATTAGGAGGGAGCTGTGAGGGGTAGAGTGCCGTTAACACCAAGTATACGGGTTGACCGCAGCAAACAGATTTCAGAGGTGTCCTTGCTTCGCGTGATTGTGGTATTCTCACCTCTTGAATTTCATTCCGTTCTGCATTCTCCTGCCGTGTGTAGGTATGCAATATTTCTAGCAAATGTTTCATCTTCACTTTGTAAAGAAAAAAAAAAGAAAAAAAAGTCAAAATTTGCCTTCCTCCTTACACTCTATTCACGTCAAAAAAAAAAAAGAAAAAATAATATTCATACGTATAAGGGGCGTGTAGATAGATCTCTGGGAATTTTATTGGCTGGATAGTATACGTGGGGTTTGTTTAATTTTATGCGATTTTTTATCGACGCCTCGTAATATCGATAATGTGGAGCCACCGGTGCGCATACACCAACTTTCCTCCTACCATCAGGGGTAGCTAACTGTAAGAGAGGAGTATACTTTACATCGAGTTATGCAGGAGTTTGAGAAATGATCAGAGTTACCCTCTTCGAGGATTATTACTATTTTTCACCAGAACGTGGAAGGAAATGATGAAGTATTTGGTATTTTCCAAATTTACATTTCCATCAAAGTGAAAGGGTAGGAATAAAGGACATTTCAAGTGCACATGAAGGAGAATACGGGGGTAATAGAGGTGGTGGTTATACTCAAGAATATGAGAGTATTCATCTCTATACTTTTTCTTACATGAATAATATTTTACTGGATATACGCATGTATAACTTCTCGGTAACCTCTTAGGGGTGTCTGCTAAGTTGATGCCCATATATGGACACACTTGTTCCTCGAGCCGTCAATCGTAAAAACCATTTTAAAATGATGTTAGTGTATGGCACAAGCCTTACACGCAACATGAATGGTCATGTGGCATTTTCTTTTTACTGGGTAAATTGCGGCAAACGAGTCGTGTACAATTTCCTTCATTTGTTTCTTCTCTCTGGCTGACATTCTATAACAATACAATAATGTTAAAATCCAAGCGGCCGGAAAATCCATGACATCCGCCTGTCAGACGATGTGTGTATATACATGAGCTAAATCCCCGGTGAGTCGTTACTCGCTCATCCAATCATCGCTGCTTTATGTGTCTACATTATTGCAGCCCCTCCATCATCATGCAATATCATGATTTTTCAACCCAATTTCAGAAATGTATCATTCTGCTCTGCACGACCAAAAGGATAGAATAATTTTGTTGTTGTTGCTGTTTTTCTTTTTTCCACTTTGAAAGAATTTATTTAATATTTGAAATTTTATGAGCCACAGTGGAGTACAATATCATGGATCCTTGCAGAAAAACAATTTACTTTGAAGGCCACAATCTCCATTAACGTGGCTAACTCGAACGTGAGCAGTGGAATAATGACTTTCGCTAAGACTTCTGTCACAGAGATTAGAAGTGGCTGGTTTATAAGGAAAGAGGTTGCGTCACACGAATTCGCGCCTGAGTCATTTTAAACGTCAGTTATGATTGAGGCAGAAAACCGACAAAGGTTATGTCTCAAGCTCAGTGGGTCACAGGTTTCCCTGTGAAAATTATACTCTTTCATGGCCTTCGCTCTTGCATTTGTTTCATCCATAGTCGTATGAAGAATCATTTATTATCATCTACATTGTTGACACGTGTATTGTTGATAATGTACACTCGAGCGACTAAATTTGTGTTTACGTAAATACCCCAGGAGGCATTGCCATGAATTCTCATACACATTCACATACAACCAAGACCCGACCACGACCGGCTCGCCCCAGTTTATTTATGCTGGCCATTTTGCGCTGGTCGTACGCCATCTTGTTCTTCCAAACGTCCCTCAACCCCCCTCGAGAAAGATCTGGAGTTACTCGTCTTGCAAATGCAGATTCTCTCCGCTCGTTTCTCGTATTATGATACTGAGGGATGAGAGTTCGTTGTTCTCTCTGTTTCTACTTGCTGCCACCCCCTCTCTATTCCTGTCTGCCTAGTGATGAGAACTGTCGGGAACCAACCCTCTTTCCTTATTCATTTGTTATCGGTCCTATTTGCGTCTTAGGTACACTCTGCATTCCAAATGTTTTCTCATTATTTATTCTTTGTTTTTGGCAAATGAGCCGATTTCCTTGAATTTATGATACTCTTGGGGTGGTAATAGCTCGAGATCTGTTGATTATTGAGGAATAAATCATATTCAAAGGGAGGCAAAGTATATGCTGGCGTGCGGTTGGACGCGTGTTTGTGTCCTCTGATATGCCCGATATACTCCTCAGGTGAATTTAAGTCGCAAGAGTGTCGTTAGACACGCCAACCTCGTATATGGCGGTTAACCTGAGGCAGAATAATCCATGTCCCCAAACCACGAAAGCTCACAACACTTGTATACATGTGAGAAAAAAAAAACCTTGTTTCAACATGGCGCGACTTCACCAACAATGACACTTTATCATACTTGAAAATCAATAGGCCTGAGGGCTAATTGATGAAGGTGCTCGCCTTCTGGAAACAATGGGCTCCATTATGTCATAAAAAGGGTAATTCCATTGTTGAAGGTTTGGAGAAATATTAATGATAATGTGTTGGCTTCTTAAGATTCATACACATGAGCCAATGAAGGGAATATCGATGATGTCTGAGGGCGTTGTATAAAATCATGTCCAGTTATAACGAAAAGTAATTAGCAATGAATTACATGGGCTCACGGACGAATGGGGTTATGAGCGTGATAATATAACTGGCATAAGAGCCAGTACGCGATTATCATCCAAATAATAAGGGAGTATAGTGACGCAAGTGGTGAGAGAGCAGAGGCGAGTGAGAGGCCATTGCAATGGGTTAGAGAGGAATCGTATTATAAACTGAAATTGTGGAAGCGCGGCTCCAGCACATCAGTATATATTGCAGGGAAATGGGGATGCTAGCTTTTGCGGATGTACAGAGAACGAAGACATGAAAAAGGTATAATGTGGGTGAAGGGGAAGAATGACTGTTCACTCTATGGCCCTTTCATCTTTTACGATAATTGCATGGCATTTTGAAGGTGTACTATGAACCCTGTCACCCGTCAAATTCAATTTTCGACAGGGACGGGATATTTCACCGCGGGCTGTGCCCACCACCTTATTCTCTTCATCCTAAGATGAATTTATTGACAGAAAGAAAGCAAAAAGAGACATCGTCATTGTTTATTTCAGTCGCCGGAGCTTTTCCTCGGAGAATTGGCCATCCTTATCAAAACAGAACTCCACCCAAGAGAAAGAAGCCGAGAACGAGCTTTACGAGATTACAAATTGCGGAATTGGAGAAACGCTTTCATAAACAGAAATACTTGGCGTCGGCAGAGAGGGCAGCTCTCGCCAAGTCCCTCAAGATGACAGACGCCCAAGTGAAGACGTGGTTCCAGAACAGGCGAACAAAGTGGAGGTACGTGACATTCTCATCATCCTTTTCATTCACTTTTCGTTTGCTTCATTTTGATAACGTGATAAACCCCAATAATTGATGTATTCTCTTCATACTTTGAGGAGATGTTTAAAAAGTCTCACTTGTCCTCGGCGGTATATGTTAATAGTAAGTTTGAAGATTTTACGTTAACATTTTTAGCGTCCAGGCGTCACGTATTAAACCGGGCTCCCTCTTCAAGATAAGCACAGTCCGAAAACACGTCATTTAGATAAAAGAATAACCCACGCGGGTGTCCTCAAGTGGAAGATGATGGTAGGCGCGCCATACGGCGAGACACCCGGCATTCTCCGGACGATATCACTGTATCGAGGAAAAAAAAAACGATGTAAATATTTAAAAGCCACCCCTGGAGTGGTTCAAGGTCATATACCAAAAATTTCCCCCATTTATTTTTATTCATTTTCGGTGGCTTTATCTTCTCCAATGGACAACTCTAGAATTCCGGAAATATCAGTGTGACTCACAGCATGTGTCATTTAAAAATATACTACACTGTTTTTCCCATTGCAATTATAGAGTACAACGACAAGTGCATCCGTACTAAATTGCCTTCCATTTAACCCTGTACACTATACATCACACCAGATAATCATCAGATGTGCCTTCGAAGTTAAATACTTACACGATCCGTTCATCGATACTGTCACACCACTTTCAACGCTTTTTAGCCATTTCTTTTTTTTCTCTCTCTCTTCCATCTTTTTCATTTTCCTTTCTACCGAGAACCCGTGACTTTGATCCATGGATTTAACAAAAAAATAAAAAATGTCGATAATCAATGGAGACACGTCTCGTACGACAAGAGAGTACCGAGTGCCATGTAAAATAACGAGATGACCGTAGGCACGAACGAGATAACTCGAGCTTCAATAATTCAGATTCCTAACAGCTTAGCCCTGTCCCGTACATTATGTAGTCGTCCTGCCACCCCCAAGCTCCCTCGGTCGCTCCAAAACCGCCTCTCCCTCCATCTCCTCGCACATAACCCCACTGCTCACTTCTCTCCCAACCTCCCTTTCCTCACTATAACTCCATTTGACTTCCGCGGCTACGCTTTTCCTTGGCTTTTAAACTGTCAAACATTCGAAATCCAACGTTTGAATCGCTTCGATCTCCTCGTGTCGGAATACCATTTTCTCGTCTCGCTTACACACCCCACTCTGCCTGTTTAAACATTCATTCATACCCCTATTGCCCCCTCCTTCTCCGGCCCTTTATCAATGTGTGTATGTAACTGCTGCCTACCTACACGATTTCACCGTGTTTGGTGGCGATGGATTGAATAATTCTTGAAAAAGAGGCTTTATATCTCTAGTCTCTGTCGTTCAATTTGTTTACAAAGAGCCAAAATAAGCTTTTTGAAATCAACCAAGTTGGGTATTATATTTCACTCTGTACGAACGATAAAGATAATGGTGCATTGGATGTGCCTGATGGTAGAGCTGAATCAATTGTCCCCTCGGTATTATACTCTATACGATAGAGTAGATGGTGCGATGGCACCAGGGGCTGCGAAATGTAATCGGCACAGGGTTTTCAATTATTAATTGCTAACCGCATTAATTACACGCCCGTGTGAGGGGGATGGAAGGGAGAAATGGATATAATGTCACAGCAAACAGTGGAATATAAAGCACGTGTTTTGAAATTTAATTTCCCCAATGCTCCAACGTCCAATTATGTTTGGTATAACGCAACAAAAACTACTAACGAAATTTCTAATTTTCTGGGAATTCATTCCGACATGTACTGTTCGATTTCAACTAATACCCAATGATGGTTTTATACCTGAAGAGACAAAAAAATATGAGCACGCAATCATGATGAAAATAACGAAAAAACAAAAAAAAAAGAAAGGAAAAAGCGCCGAAAAGAGCTAAGTAAAATTACAGGAAGCTGTTTCATGGGTGGAACGAGTGCTGTGTGTGCGACGTCAAAGAAGAAATATATATACGTGAACTAGCTACGATGAGAGAAGACAAGAGAGGAGTTCTCTCTCTCTCTCTCTCTGTTCATCCACACTCAACTCGGAGAACCAGTTTGCGCTAATGATTGGTCTTGGAAAACCTCAAAATTAGTTCGAAGCGTTCACAAATACGAGTTGGACAAAAACGGGGACGGAAACGAGATTTTTTCATATACTATACGAGTGTTTCATCATGCTTTCGTTCTTTTTTTTCTTATTTTTTTTTTTCAGTAACGCAGGATTTCGGTAGTTGATCATGGGTTCGCGGAGCGATTTGTTAAATAGAGAAAAAAAAAGGTTATGTAAATAGAGGACAACGTAGTAGTATAAAAAAGGCACAAAGTCTATGGGCGATTTCTTCGGTTTATATACATCAGAACCATTTAATTACCGGTAGCAGAGATTAAGCCCTAATGGAGCGAGAATGTCCAACTGGATACCTGATTGCGGTCCGAGGTCAGACTGGCGCCTCAGACGAATAAATTTCACGATTTAATCACCTCAGACATTCATCGAAATATCGGCGGGCTAGTAAATTCTTCAATAAACATTGTTACTGTCTCAGTAAGAATTTTACTACTGATGTGTATAAGCTTAATGTAATGATTTACGGAATATCAGCCAATTACATATGCAGGTCTACTCCCCCGGAGAAAACCGGTAGAAAAATAGATAATAAAAGATTCCTTTGCCCCGCCTGGCTCTCATATATACATCTGCGCGGACGTCGAGTTGTTCTGCTCCGGCGCAATCAAAATGTGCCGCATATACTATGTATTCGAAAAATTTGAAAAATGAAATTTTTCTTATTCAATGATTTTTTTCCTTTCAGACGACAAACGGCAGAAGAGAGAGAAGCAGAGAGACAAGCGGCGAATCGTCTCATGTTATCACTGCAAGCAGAAGCCCTGGGAAAAGTTGGTTATCCAGGAGGGGTGAGCAGTCATCCTGGCGGTGCATCGGTTGCAAATCTAGATGGGCAATCTTCAGCACCACCTCTCGGGCACACGGTTAACCAATGGGCCTCACCCTATGGCCCACCTCAACCCCTTACCGAGCCCATCTGCTAAAAAATAACCAATTTTCAGCGAGAGAGAGAGAGAGAGAGAGAGAGAAATTGTAATGGATTGAACAAGGGCAACAAAGACATATCTCACTCATGTAAATAATACCATACATTTGAAAGAAATTACTTGTAAGATATAGGGACTGTTCTAGTGCAAGCGGAGGGGAGTCAGGAGGTATGCCATGTAAATACCACTTGGATTATTGAACCCAGATTATTCTTAATAGTAGCGTAGGATATGATATATATTATATTGTCGTAATAATATTACGAGTGGTTATAACTCAATATCAGTGTAAGAATTGCGAGAAGAGAAATACAATAGGCAAAAATATGCATTAAAAATTCCGATTAAAAGATAGGAATATTGAGTATGATGTATAACGAGCTATGTGATGTTATGTACGTGTAATATTGTACATATATAAATATTCAGGAAAACAAAATGAAGACTAATTACTGACATCTCTATGTGAGAGATTGTTTTTTTTTCTTTGTTTTTTCAACTCACCCAGCACAACACCTGTCCAATATTTTTTATTTCTCCCAGTTTATCCTTCCCACCTTTGTGTCCCTCAACAGTTGCCAAAGATTTTTTTAGTGGGTGTCTAAATTGAAGGTGGCATCCTACATTATCGTGTGCATCATCCCCTCAAATCATATAACAACATCCGGTCGCTCTTTTTTTCGATTCTCATAATTGTTTTATTTCCCCGTAACGATTGCTGCTCGTGTCTTTATCTCGCAGGTTAAAGTTATGAAGCTCTGGTATCCTAGAAGAGTGTGTTTCACTTGTATGCCGGATGTGGCCGCGTTTACTACCTATAATTGCAGAGAAGCCACTACTCCCAAGTCCGGGTCAATTATTTGGAGACAAATGTTCCAGACCGCTTCTTGAAACTCAATTTCTCTCTAAGAAAGAGCCTCTCTATATGTTGTTATATACAAAGACTTTTTGTCGGGGGACCACCGGCGCAGGTATCCACGCGTTTGATGTCTTGAAAATTTTCCTTTTATTCCGACAACTCTATTATAGAAAATAGAAAATAGAGAAAAAAAAATAAGAAGTGAGGAATTTGAATTGAAATGGAGATGGTTTTAAATTTTACCACCACACTCAATGTTTCAATATTCCTTGACACATGATAACTGTTAATTGATCAAGTACGCTGTACCTGGGATGGGGAGAGCGTAGAAACGTATCCCAGAGGCGAGAGGATGCAGCACACGCCCCCCTGCTGGTATTAATCCTCAATCATACATCAGTGGCATATCGCACCCCGTCGACCCCAACCCAACCCTCTGGGGCGTTTGCGCAAAGACCACACATGCTCTTCCCCCACCCTCTCGCTTGCATTCAATGACCGAAAAGGCCAATGCTTGGCGGTGCTGGAGGAGGAGGAGGAGGGCGCTTCGAATTAAAAACTAATCCAATATTAGCTCCAGTCTGGTCTGCCAACGAATATACTGACAATTATATTTTCACATTCTCATACTTGCATTTCGTTTGATTTGGACAAACAGCCCAATAAATAAAATTGATAATAAGACAATTACCTTAAGTTTATTGACACGTTTGCTGGAAAAATGAACGATTGAATAATAGAACAAATCAATTTTCTCGTACGATTATAGGTACTCAACCATCAGACGGCAGACAGTATTTCGTGAAATGACGTTTCTGACAATAAAATAAGTGGGCGATTGAAGTTTCGGTGTGGAGGTTATACGTCTATTTCCTGCTCGTAAAAATGAGAGAGAAATGTATTTCTCGTGAACTCGGGCCCTGTCTTTTCTGTATTTCCGATCGTTTTGTGGTCAGCCACCAACTCCCTAATAGTTTTGGAATAGAATCGATGTCATTTGCGGCCTATTTCAGGTTCTTATGGTTCTCATACAACTAACACAATCCAAAGAAAAAATAATAATGACGAGAGAAATGGATTTATGAAAGAATCAATGTTTGCCTTCTCTCGCATTTATTTTGTACTCTAATTTCGTCGTGGGAACGCCAATGGATTTACTAAACCCGATCTCCCTGATTGTTGCTCGTCTATCGTAATCCTAGAATCCCCTCTGGAAATACTGTTCGATACTTACTCGATTCACCGACAGGACTAATCCTCGTGACAACGATGAGAATGCATTATCGACTGTCGAAACTCCATTGTCAATGCTTTACCATCAAGATATAAGCCTCTGAATTATTAGTCTCGAGATGATCGTCTTCATTTATTCATTTTTACAATTATTATCGTTGAGAAAATTCCAATTGCAAGTAATCAGGTATATTAAAGAAATTTCAAATTTCCAACATGAAAGGGAATGTCCCCTTTATATATTCCTGAAAGGGTTAAAAAAAAAAACTGAAAGACATTGAATGAAACAGACGTGTATTCTCGATGGTGCGAGTTCAAGCACCACGACGCAAACGACACTCGACAGGCGCGGAAAACGGGAAGAAAACAACGACCTGGAGTCACCAGGACCATTTAGGATGATTGCCCGATTTATGTATTTATACGCAAAAAAGGTACAGAACCACGATAGGTGCCTCTCTCACATTAATTCGTTTTCATACAGCAAAGATTGAGTCTTTTGCTTTATACACTCCGTCGTCCATCTTGTTGAGCGCGAATTGTGTTGTTTCGATTATAATTTCGCAGATGCCCAACAATATTTGTCAATTACGAATGCATCTTCGGCACAAAATTGGAAAAGCCCTTTCGCAACGAGAGCTCTCGTTAATTTGCCCGCTAGCATGACGATGATGGGCTTTTGGATCGTGATTCTTATCTCGGCCATGGACGCAGGGCAGGAAATTGTTTTACCCCCACCTCCCGATGCACGGCTGCGATCCATAGAGTTGTGGTCTAAGAAAATCTTGGCAAGATTGATATTTATGTACACCTCAATTTCACCATCAAAGTACATTTGAAAATTCTTTTATTGGAATCTCGTGATCACTAAAGGATATCTGTAATTCATCAGGCCGAGTGTTAAATTGAAAATATCATCATCAATATCTACATAAAAATTCCAATTGCCTAGAGACAGGAGAGAATCATGATGGGACAGTGTGCAATAAAAGTGTCATATTACATATTACATGTTGGGTGCCTTTTTATCTTGATTATCAATACACACATAACGCATGTATTTGCTCCTGGGGGAAATAAAAGAGCGGCGGAGGGGTGGTAAAACGATTCGCGTACACACTAGTTTTGGCACTGGTGCTTTAATATTTGATGCGATTAAATTCGTCCCCAAGTGCATGCGCCTTTGGTAATTGGTTTCTGATTAGCGGACAAGTTTTAAGTGTGTTACGGGCGTGATACGTGTCTCTATCTTATGGATGAGAAATCTTGTGGATAATTGTTGTTCACCGTAATTCAAATGATAATGGAAATAGAGCTTTTTTTAAAGAATGAATGATTAATGTGTGAGTTCATTGTCTTGGGATAAATATAACTGAAGGCAGTTTATTATTAAACGTTGGAATTGTGATTGTGAGAAAAAAATGATTTGCCCAGAGGGTGCTGGATAAGGCAGTTTGTGCGCCGTCGTCAGGAGCGGAATAATCCGTCGACTCACCACTTGTCTCTGTTCAGCAGCGTTTCACTCCATCTTGCCGTTGACAGAGAAAATCCCAGCCGGCCAACCGTCGATCCATCTATCGGTCTTCTCTTTTATCCAGCGCTCTGTCTCTCTGCCGTTTTACGGTCCTCAGAATGTCCAATTAGGTCGACGAAAACTTAATTAACAGTCGGTGGATAGAATCGATGAAAACTCACTGAATCTCTCATCCGCAAAATTTTCCCCGGTTGCAGCGATGATGCACTGGGCTATTCAGACGCAAGATGCACCGGTTTATGCGCATGACAAATGACTGGTGAAAAGCCTTAGAATATCTAACCGGCTGCAGTCCTGGCAATTACTGTCGTCGGGCCAAATTTCCTCAACTGTAATTGCAATACCTAAATTTATATTCTCATCAATTTTTCAGTTTATTTGCAGCACCGCCCCATTACTTGTGTTATTTCTATATTAATAAACGACTGTATATTCAGTAATACATTTATCATTTTCCAGGTGAATAACAGTTTATTACTTGGAATTAATCAATTCAATTGATGCAAATAAAATCTCCTATGAGTATATTAAATTATCAGCTCTCTTGTCTCTCAATTGTTGTCATCGTAATTATTATTATTATTATTATTATTATTATCATCATAGAGATCCAAGTGATGAGAATTTTCATGCTGAACATGCTGATTGCCCTCTACTTCCCGAGGTAGAATATTCAAGAGCTCACAGGGCAGATGATACAACTGAAAAATTAAAAGAGGAGTAAGGGAGTACTTGAAAATAAGGATTGTTGTTTCGATAAGAATGTAAATTTACCTGATCATTGGTGTTGCCACGTAGAAGCATCCTCAGTTTGCGCAAACCACAATGAATAGTGTCTGGGGCATTTGTTCGCCGAATGGCTCCTTGAGCTGGAAAATTCATCTTGAATTCCGACGGTAGACCGCCAACACCGCCAAATGCACCAAGATCGGCACGCTTACCACCCCTCCATCCGCGACTGTATTGCACCATCTGGCCATAGGTAACTACGGTCATAGTCACTAGGAGGATCACCAATACAGTCATTGCATTTGCCATCTGTCAAATAATTCCATTCAATATGAAAATGATAATCCAACTACAGAAGAAGAAAGAGAGTATGCGATGTAAAACAAGTGCTAACGCGAAACAATGGAATGGTCGAGTTGTGTCACAGTTGACTTGTTAAATCAACGATCCGTGAATTAATGACTCGTCCAGGAGAGGAGTGAGGATATTTTTTGTTCATTTTATCGATGATTATAATGATGATGATGATACGCTTCTTGACTCGGCGGTATTTTTCGCAAATCAACAATAAATTTATCAATGAGACTTGAAAATTTTATATATGTATATAATGAGACGAAATATTGAAAATTTTTGGAAGGGTGCTTGCTCTTGGCGCTAATTTTAAGAGGCCATTAACGCTACGCGCGTCCCTGGTCATTAAGATAAGAGTAAGTGCTACTAAGTGTCCTGTGGATAAGAGACAGGACCCAGTGTCTGTGTTTGCTTGCACAAGGGCGTATTCAGCCTGGGCGTTCTCCATTCAAATGCGTTAGAGCGTCGGATAAAATATCCGAGTAGGTTTTATTTTCTGTTTTATACACATGCAGTTGTCGATGCGCCAATATTGTGTAAGGACCCAATTGATGGATTTTTGTCCGGAAATTGAATTCAAATAGTAAAACGGCTAATTAAAAAGCCAACAACTCTGCAACAATTATTCTGTAATTTTTATTTTTGTAGAAAACGATTCCAATATTAATGCCAATAATAATGGCACAAAGTCATGCTCTTCATTATTCATAGAGGACCATTAGTCTTGAGAGATGAAGAATAACGAGAATAGGTGAATGATTTGATAGGGAACTATCGATTTTCAAATTGACGTCAGATAATATCTGACAAGGGGAGAATGCATATACTTGCAGTGGCAATCTTATAGTATATTAAATGACTATTATTCCACGGTATGGGTCACAGCAGAGTTCTTCGATACTTCCGATTTTCAATCTCAATGCGAGTAAATATTCAATATTATTCATTTTTATTGGACTTTTAAGCGGGACATATATTTCATAAGAATCTTGATGGTTCACACATTTTAGTGTGGCTATAAACCATCATGATCATATGTGATGTGGTTGCGCTATAGTTCCTCGTTGCAATTCTCACTTCTCACATGAATTGAAGTATCGTTCGGTATATTGATTCGCTCATCGCAACGGTTACAATTCAAAATTCAAAAGTATTCTCATCCCTTCGCATCAAATTTTGACTAGAAAAATCACAAGTATAATTGAAATCTTTGAGTTAATTTATCAAAAACATTTTTAAAAATTTCATCAGAGTATGGAAAAAATTGAATTAAATTAATGATAATGACAATCAACATTGTTTGACCTTATCCGAAGAAAAAAAAATTAATGGATAAAGTTTCAATGTTTGCTAATTTTTACAACTCGATAGACTGTGCGAATAAGAGAGCCAAATTATCCGACGACGCCATCTTACGGAGTCTCCAAGGCTCATTGTTATTGAAAGGATGGAAGTCTTTACCGATAATGGATTCGAAGGGAAATAATTAATTCAAAAGTTTCCAATGGAGATTGAATATTAAATTTGAATGGCAAATTACCTACATTAAAGTTGTTTAATTATTCAAAGCTGCGGTAAACTTTTTACAGGAAAATATTTGCCAAGACGTCAGTTATATTCTCCAGTGGGCAATATAGATAACTGCTGTTGTCTCAAACTATGTTGAAATGAAGGAAAATATTATGTGGATTATCTGATATACTTTGGAAAATTGAAAAACACCTGATGCTACATCATCTTGCTGATTTGATTTCCTTTCTTTTCTATTACTTTTATACTTTTTTACAATTTCTGGGTTGACATGCTATGATACATCGAGTTATTCCCATTGCACACTGTTTCAAATGAATACGGATATGAAATATTAACTCGATATGTCATCGCACTGTGACAGTTGTAGGAGTGATAAATTACTTGATATAAAAGTTGGAGAGCAAATACATCAATTAAGGAAATCATACAGGTGGTACACAGACATCTCAACAATTTCAATAAGCAAATGAAATTTTTAAACAATTGAATAATTGGAAAATTGAAGAATTAAAAAATAATAGTAATTTGATCAACTTTACCTTTTTTCAAGTGCCAATGTATATAGTAGTGAATGATTATTCGTGAAATATTAAACACACAAGAGAAATAATTCAAGCATCAATTTGGCTAGTTTTTATACCCAAATTGAGTAAATTTAAACAGTGAAATACAACACGTCGACCTGTTGCAAGCTTAAATTCTGGAGGAGCAGTGTACACGGGGATGTTGGTTCGCGCCTTTATAAGACGCATCCCCCCACACGAATCCCACCCGTATTCTTCGGGAAACAGCCCCTGCGTCGTTGTTCCATTCTATGGACCATCGAGATTATTGTTATTATCCCATCACGAATCACGAAACAGAAACAATGCATACGAACGAACTAGACCCATTGAAATCCTCAAATTCAGTGGAGAACCTTAAATTATTGTTACGACTATTCTCAACTTGAAATTGAAGATTAATTCAATTTTCTATACAATCCTCTTCCCTTTTTCATTGAAAAAATAATAATTCCACGTGAAAAATACCATGCTATCTCGTCTTATCTACATACTCACAATTACCCTCCATAAAATTAACATTCAATCCATAGCTGAATAACAACAAGTTTCAATCTTTAAAGAGGCAAGCGAATGATGGGATTTCATTACGAGAATTGGCAATTTGCCTCGTTTCATTATTTTCATTATTTTGCGCCCTTTCTCCGTGACCTGGTGGATAAGAAGGAAATCTACTTACCGGTTATTATCTCTCTCGACGACTTTTCGAACTAAATTTCAATGCAAACGGTCGATTTGAACGCGAGAGCGCCTGTCTACATAACGGGGGGATACATATTCCGTTTTGGACAGGTTCTAGGGAAAATGGCGACAGTACGAAAGCATGATCTCCTATTCGTCAGTCAGTCAGTGTGGCACAGTGTGGTGCAGTGTGGTGTCAGTGCTGACAGACGACGCGTGAGCGCGACTCCTGTCGGTTACTTTGTTAAACATGCAGTAGTTGAGTGATGACAAAACTGCGTTGGTGTAAAACGACAATTGGTAAAAAAAAACATTGTGAATTTCACTGTAAGGAAATCAAAGAGGAGGATATGGAACAATTGTTCATTCCGATTCAGTGATAATTAGTTGGTTGATAGATGTAAAAGATATTGTGTTAATTCCAATGTCGGACATCATTATGACGCAAGTGCAAGGTGCGCGAAAGGCGCAGTGATCCGTGCGGAAACTCGACATCAATCGAGACAGGCTGTTCTCTGTACGATGGAGTCTATAAGAAAATGGTTCTACAGGCCTAAGGTGAGAATTCAACCCCGTTCATGATATTCTTCATCGATTATTCCCTATGAATGTCGAAGCCTGCTCAATATGCCTGTTACATCTTCTTATTCTGCAAAACAATCACTCAACTTCCCCTTCTCTCCCGCTTTCAGTCCACCTCTCCATCTATCTTTCTCTGTCATGTTTGCTTATTTTTCAATGTTCATACTGATTTCGATTTTTTTTTTTTTTTTTGACAATCATGTGGTAATTGATATTTCCTATTCAAGTCGTTATTCGCCAGCCCTGAACAAAGCCAAATGACACACGAGTCTGCGCTTTAGCCACCTGTTCGAAAGTAGGAAAATTTTATTTCTACGTGAAAGTTTTATTCTCGTGGTAAAAAATAAAACGATGGCAACATTTCATGAACAATGTCCGATAAGTCGACGGCTGTCAGTCGGAACGAAATGTCATGGTAATAGAGCAGTCAGTCATAATGTAGATTTCATTTCTTCTTTTTTCTTCATCTAATAAAATACAATATCGAGTAGTTACAATCAATGAGAAAATAATTAGATGTAGACTGTTTTGTATTTGCCAATGCTATGAATATTCAATGAATTGATTATTGGTTTTTTCACAACACGGAAGGGGGTTATTTAAATGAATGACAGGGCCGTTCACGTGCACAAGCTGAATCCATTGTGTGTGGCACATAGATGTTCGCGAATAGACTTCAAGATCATCTTTGGATAAAATTCTAGCTAGGTGAATAATACAATGAGGCTAAAATTACAATTGAACATTCATTCCATTTCTTCTTACATATGGAGAAATGAATTGTAGATTAATGAGTGGTCAATTTTTCCTATTCCAATTTGTCATCGATGTTGTAATAATGTGAAATCGTGTCACTGGTAATCACCTCTCCTCCTGTTTAATTGTGTATTGGAATAAATGGAAATTAGTTGTTGCCTTTCCGCATGGGAAAATTATTATTTCAAATGCGTGAGGCTGTTATCATACATTGTTAGGAGCCAACTGAGCTCCTAATTATTTACTCATCGCTATTCCCGCACACCAGCAGATAGGAGAAAATAATTTACCTCATCAAGCTATAGAAGAGATCCATGTAATCCCCATGAAAATCAGTCCAATAATTATAATTAGAAAAATATCATTTTTACGGTTATCTATTTTTTTTGTCATTTTCCGCAGCTTTCCAATCGTATTTACCAAATAGACAAACAAATATCTCATGTGGCTCTCATTGGCTCCTCCGGGGAAAGCCACACAGTAGTAGTAGCCCTACATGACGGACAGAAAGTAAAAGTGCGTACGATAGTCAGACAGACTACGTGGCCTCGACCTGAGGTTTCCCAGTTGTTATTAATCTATTTTTCCCTAAAATGCGTATCGACAGTAACACCTTCCAATTTATACTAAACAAAACAAAGTAAAACGCTTGATAATTGTAATTTATGCGCAGCTAAGAATTCGTAACGAAAATCAACAGAGAACGACAGGATGGGAAAAAATATAGATGACTCATGCTAGACTGATCAGCGCTCATTAGGCCGAATCAGCCATTAGTTTCATTAGGTTTTTCGCTTCACAACGCTGCAAGTGGAAAAAAAAGAAAATAAAACGATAGGTGGGCATAACAAAAAGACATGCGCAATACAAGCCAAAAACAGAATCTTTTAGCTTGAGTCTTGATTATGAAAAAGAACCTTGGAATTCTTTATCAGTGAGTTTACTTGGAGATTTCAGGAACGATAAAAAAAAACACCTGGGAAGAAACATAGATGGGTGTATATGCAAGTGTTTCAATTCCGTTGAGTAAAAGGACATTGAGAAAAATTTAATTTCAAAAATAAGTAGAAAGTTGGAGCTAATCGGTCTTAATTAGCTCCATGCAACAACGCATTGAAAATGACTTTGATATTGCAAAAATACTGCTATCTGCAATCAATCCGACTTACGACTTATCTTAATTGGGAGAATATTCGTGTAGATAAATGAATTTCAGTCTTTCCATTCTCATTATTTATGGCGGCATTATTATATCATCGAAAATGTCGAACGCCATATAATTTCCACTGAACCGAAATAACGATAAAACACAAGTTTGTTGTTATTTCACAATATTTCACCTTGGGATTTTTTGTGATAATTGTGAAACCTTCATTTTCATCGATCACACGTGGTCTGAAAATCTTTTGACATTTCTGAGAAGGAATAGGAATAGTCTCTACAATGAGAAAATAAAAATTACTATATAAATCGTTAACTTCAGCGTTCCTGGTAATATTTTTCTCTTTTATTTGAATTTTCCTGAATGATGATAGATAGAGAAGAAAAAGTCGATATAGCCAGTATTGTATAGTAGATCACCTCAAAGGGGGGTAACTGGATATTCGCATTGTTGTGACGCGTTGAATCGTTGAGGTATGTGTAAACTGCGTCTCGAATAACTGAACTCGATAAAATACACAGATCTAAAGTGAGTAACTCGAATACATGAGTTTACAATAGACCATGATAGAGAGGCTATATACGGGGTAATAAAATATCGCCTACTATCCTTCTCGGCAAGATTCTTCATTGACATTGGTACTCGATGAAATCTAGCCAGGTGGTACCAAGGTACAATGGAGGGATTTTAATATCCAACAGGCTTTGCCTTAATTGTAAAGTTAGAAATATTGTTGGTATAATTCGTAATTGAGAGTCTAGACTGTGGAAATGTTGAATTGAGACAACAACTTGAAGGATATATCATAAGTTTTAATGATAGACATTGACAAGTCTGTAATTACAATTACAATCAACCTCATTGTTTGAATAGTATTTCCTCCTTTGAAGTGGAATGCAATTAAAAATTATGGTATTTGATATTTTCATGTTTAGAGAGATGATACAAGTCTTTTGGCTCAGTTCTTCTATGCCAACGAGGCTCTAACGGCTGTTGCCTGCGAATTGGATTCATTTGATGGGAGACAAGAACCAGAACGATGCACGATACTTGTCAATCAACTGCGCCACTGCCAGGACAAAGTTTTGACGATATGCAATCAAATAATGGACGAGTTGATACCTGAAAGTCGTGCAAATCGAGACTTTAGAGTCAAGTTTCCGGACGATGTTATGCAGGAGAATCTTGCCGGACAATTGTGGTTTGGCGCCGAGTGCCTGGCTGCGGGTTCATCGATAATGAATCGAGAAGTTGAGAGTTCTGCGATGAGACCCCTTGCCAAAGCTCTCACAAAGTCTCTAGAAATCGTACGGAATTTACTTAGAGAACACGCTCTCAAGGGCCACATGAACTTAAAGGTAATTAATCATTTAGAGTGATAACTCTGGGGAAACTGACGAGAGCTCCATTAATTTTTTTCATTTACCACATTAGGAATTGTTCCAGGCGCAGAATCCATTGGAGCCGACGTTAGAAAAACTTATTGAATCACTCAAGATTTTTGATCGTCTCTTTGCTGACTTTGAACTGTGTTATGTTGCGGCAATGGTGCCTGTTAAATCAACCAAGGAGTATGAACAACAAGAGCTCGTTTGTGTGCTCTTCTCTGAGACACTTCAAAGAGCACTTGAACGGGGTTTGTTGAGTCAAGCCGATGTTGATAATTATGAGCCAGCCCTCATGTTTACCATTCCAAGACTGGCAATTGTTTCGGGGTTACTAGCACCACCTGGAGGTCCTCTTTGTCTCAATTCTCCTGATACAATCAGTGAAATGTTTAGACCATTCAGGGTGAGTGTTTAGCTTTCATATAAATATATATATATACTCCAAATTCCCGTTGAGAAATTTTTTTTTCTTTCAGAATTTATTATTGAAAATACGAGAACTTCTTTGGACTCTAAACAATCGAGAACTTTACATGTTGGAGAAGCTATTGTGTTCAAATGAAGAACCCTCAGCACCGATATCTCAATCAACGAGAAATGTCTGTCAACAAGATCTTGAGGAATTTGTACACAATTTCTACACAGATTATCCAAATTGCAAGGATTTTATTGTAGACTTTTACACAGTGACAAAAAATACAGGCTCTAATATGGATGAAGTGGCAAACGATGCAGTTGAAATATTGGAGCAAGACAATGCTAGAATAGAGTACCTGATTGATAAGTCGGACAGAGATAAGAGAAAAGAGCGAAAACACAAGGTGAGAGCAGAACATTCCAATAGTTGTCCCCATGCTAGAACAGTTATTATTCCGAAAGAAGAGAGCAGTGTGCAAGAGTCGAGTGATGATACCCAGATAGAAATAATGGGCAATCAACAGAGGAATGGAGGAATGGATTCACCATCTAGCCAATATTTTGCTGATTCAGTACACTCGGCAAATCCAGAAAGTAGTGAATTTGATAGAAATGAGGGTGACAGGAGGAATGGAGAAGGTTTTCTAAGTCCTGACATTTCACAGATTCTTGGGGCAACTGGTAACATTGAAATTCCACAAACACAATATCTATTGAATCAAGTGTCTCATGAGAACAATGTAACCGGTGAAACCATTCACGTTGACAATTCACTGCCTGACATGGATTCGAAAAAGCTCATTTCCGAAGCTAATAAAACACTATCGAGTTTATTACTCGAGGGTGAGTGTCCAAATGAAATATCAGAACAAACAGATTCCGGTATTTGTACAGTGATATCATCGGAGAATACTAGTTTGTATGATAAGAGTCCTGAGGAGAAGAAAACATTTGCCAATGAGATACAACAACAAGACTTGGAGATGATTGATGGAGATAGAGATGGAGGCAATTCATCAAGTGATACATGTATTGCATTCTCAAGTTCATCAACAACAGGGGACAACAATGTTAGTGACAACTTGTGTATGCGTGTGAAAAATGAAAAAACCATATTGCTAGATAACCAAATGGAAACATCGAGTCAAAATAATTGTACTAGTGAAACATCAAAAAATTTACCTAGGATATCGTCAAATTTTAATGGGACCAATGAGGAATTTGTCGGCTTGGCATATGGAACTGGACAAATTACAGTCTGTGATTCTAATCAATCGACCTTCCAAATAAATTATTCGGAAAATTGGGAGAACCTTAATCTCAATATTGAGGGTTCCAGAACGACCAAGCAATTTTGGAGGGATTTGAAATCCAAAAATTGTCCATCTACATCCCAAGACATCAACAAAATTGGTAATAATATTGAAAAATACGCACAGGACAGGATATCGGCACGAAAAACTAAGGAGAATAAACTGAAGAAGCGCCAGCGCAAGTTTGACCGAAAAATTGGAAAGAGAGTTCATGAGGATATGCAGAGAAGTCTCTCCTGTAGTGTTGGTATTGGTGGTGGTGGGCCCTTATCCCCAAGCACTGAAAGTTCTCGCTCAAATTCGACTGATCGTTGTCTATCGAATCCGAGATTGTCACACTTTGGAGCTAGTCTTCATCCAAGTCAAAACACTAGACAAATGCCCAATTTTGGAAGCCACAGTCCGCAGAGAAGTCCTCGTTTGTGTCACTTTGAGCCGAGATCGGAAAATTCTCACAATCAAATGTATGGCCACAGAAGTCAATTAAATTCATCATCTCAAAATCGAAAATTATTGGACCACAGACGATCGAGATCAGAACAGTTGGCAAAAATGAGGAAGAAAGATACAAAACGTCAAAATGTTATTGAACCCCAGAAAGTACTTCCGAATGATGGTCTTGGCCCTAGAACGGAGAAAAGTGGCTTAGCCATTGAAACTTCTCCTCCGGGAAGCACTCACAAAGCCGGTAGATACCACCAGGACATGCAGACCAGGACTATGGAAGAGCAGACTTTAATTAGAGGATCTAATTCGGCAAGTCTAGTTAATCCTGGTGTTATTGCTGCCAGAGCAGCAGTAGCAGCCGTAGCAGCCGCCAGCACCACGTCATCCCTTCTAGAACTTCCATCTGTTAGAGCTCCGACAGATGTTGGATCGAGTTCTAGTTGCTCTAGTTGCTGTGATTCGAGCTCTGAGACGAGTGAATTTCAGAGCGACTGTCAGGATGATGAGGAAATTGCACTTGCAATGCAGGCCGCCGAAATTGCCAATAGAAATCAAATTAGGGCCAAATTCAGGTGAGATTATTTTATATTTCAGTTGCAAGACCAATGTCTCTTTGTTAATTATCATCATATTTCTTACCCACACACACATACACTAATTTTTAATATTCAGATCTTCTGAGGACTTGGTACATCGACTATTTGTCTGCATTGCGGGTGTTGCTGATCAGTTGCAAACAAATTTTGCATCAGATTTGAGAAATATTCTGAAATGTGTCTTCCTCATGAATAGTACACAAGTTGAGAGTAGCGATGAACTTAATTCCACTAATCAACCAACTCAATCCGAGAGATTAAATTCCGTTGAGACGTTAGACAATGGAGCTGACATTGAGCGACAGGATTCTCTTCAAGAGGAAGATGACGATCTCGAGGATGCAACTACAACTAATGAACGAAGTACGTTACCTAGTAAACAAACTTTAAGACAATCCATCAATTGAGTGGATGAATATTCATTATATATTTATTTATTTATTTATTTTACAGCTTCCCCAGTGACAGAGAGAGGTGAGGAGTGTGTCGAGAGGGCCCCCGCATGGATTCCAGATAATGATGCACCAAGATGTATGGCATGCCATGCAGGTTTTACCGTCGTCAGACGTCGACATCATTGCAGAAACTGTGGCAAAGTATTCTGTGGCCGGTGCAGCAGTAATAATGTGCCCTTGCCACGTTATGGACATACAAAACCTGTACGAGTTTGCAACAGGTGTTTTCTCTATCAAGTGACACCATTCACAGTGTCACAAGTAACACCAAATAGCTGAATACTTTTATCACCTCCACCACCACATAAAAACCACATATTTTTTAATATAAACTTAATGCTGAATGCCTTCATTCGAACTGTAGTCACGTTCGCTATATTCAAAGAGTTTCTCCGACAAAATTTCAACAAGAATACTTTATTAACAACATTCTTCGCCATTTGCTACTTACTATGTTTATGAGAGCTCTAGGGGGAGTTTATGTAGTTGAAGGTCAGTCAAAATAACAATAATAACAATAATAATAATAATAATCATAATGAATTGGTCTTATTTCAAGCATCACACAACTGCCTGTATATAAATATCTTACAAGAGAGTGTGAATTATAAACGCATCACAATTATCTATTTGTGCCAAATTCAGAAGACAATAAAGCTTCTTCTGTCCATTTCAAGATAAAAATGTAATTCCAAACATATAGTGTAAATATAAGGCAAATTATTTGATGAGAGTTGGCAAAAATGGAAGGAGGAATTTCATTTTGTGGAACGCAGTAGCATCTAATTGTATTCCTCAATTCGGATAATTTGAATGTAAATACTTGTGAATTATGATGATAAAACAAGGAAAAATACAAAGAAGACTGTTCAATTACTACATGTCAGAGTATTAACTACCGAATTTTTATGACTCCGTTAAATATGATATTCTAATTCAATTTGTTACTTTAGCCCATGAAGGAAATATCATTTTAAATAACAAGACAATTAAATTACTGATTTTATAATAAACAAGAAACTTGTGACTTTTGAGTTGTTTGTTGAATCACATTTTATATGAAATACTTTGATTTTAATTATCTGATAATGCTAATGAAATTATCGAGTTGTGTAGAGCTAATCACAAGGTTCGAATAAGATCACGCAATGACCAAGTCTGATATGTATGCATATATATATACATGTATATATATATATATACGCACGTGTTTTATAACAAATAATAATAAAACTGAAGAAAGACATTCTTATTCCATTGAACATGTATCCAGTCTTTTCCTATTTCATTTCTCCACATACCCTACATTACATAAATATCTTATATAATTATTATTATTATTATGGATATAAAAATGTATTTTTGGGCTTTAGTCCCCATGGAAGGATGCAAAACTATCTGTCTATATTATTAATAGTTATACATGTACTCCAATCACTCTTGAATTAAAGATTCTTTGGTAATATCAACTTAATCAACATTCTACTGCTCACTCGATTGGGTCTATAGATTTAGCAACCTTTATTATTAAATTGAAATGTGTGATTATCTGAATCATTGAGAGATTAATATATAGCGGCATCATTGGTAAATCAACATCGCTAAAAGTTGAAACAATTAGATGGAGAAACATTATTTTTTACACGATCGAAATGCCTTATTGTAGGGAAAAAGGTTTCGGTAATGGACTTTTAACGATTGACACAACACTGATTTTGGCTGATGTGTACAGGTGTGGATATTTTTCCTTGGGTGCCTAAATTCAAACGCCACATATTCTCATGATTTATTGATTGAAAACAAAAAAAAACGCTAATGAAGAGTATGTTTTCATCTCTCTCTCCCTCTCTACCCTTTTTTCTCTCCAGTTAATGTTGATACAAGTCGTGCGTGAAGTAATTATTTTTATATCGTTTGTTTCGTGAGTAATCGCATTATTCTGTAAGAGCGCACTCTTAATTAATTTCTACAATGAAAAGAAGAAGAAGAGAGAATGTAATTAATAATTTAAGAGACTCTCCGCACCAAGTCATATATTTATTGTGTGGCGCAAATCAGTGACGATTATACCTATGTATACAATGGAAAAATGTATATACCGATAATAACTGTACAAAGTTAGATAACACTAATGCGTGTAATATATAAATCAATCTGGAAGGAAATAACTTTAATCGATGAACGTGTTTTTTTTAGTCTTGCAGCTGGTACGAATGTGAAAATATCTCTTTTCACTAATCTTATCTTTATGCCATGAATTATGGTTATAAATTATAAATCATGTAAATATGAATAAAATTTGTTATTTCAAATGATTTTCTCAAGTTTAATGTATCATTTGCCACAAATATTACGGGATTAAATCATTGAGACTATTGATTTTACCATCTCCTTTGAGAGAAATACAAATACAAAATTCCTTCATTCCCATGGATACTTGTAAACAATCTGTCATCCTCAAAACTGCACGTTCCATTGCATGGAACTTAGTCCAGGAAAGGTGGAAGTAAAGTTTTGTTTCCAAGTTGGACATTGTGTCATGTATTAGTTTCGTATTAATATCGAGAGAGTTTGAACTAGTATTATCGTACAAGTAACAGAAAGCTGAAGTCTAAAGTTTACGGAGGGGAATACACATCAACTTTTCACGATGGATATGGAAATGAATGCTGATGATAGAGTAAGTATAGCAGATTCAATTCAGAGTATTTGAATTTTACCTTTTTTTTCTTCTCTAATGGATGCATTAGAGAGAGGGAGAGAGAGATTACGGACATTTAGATTTTTGGGGCATTTGTATTTTTGGCTGTAATATTTGATAACTCGTCAATTGTCCTGTCGTGCTGTGCACCCGTAACTGAACCGAAATGTCAATTGCGATAGGCTATTGTTCATAAGCCTTGCCCACTATTCAATAAAATCTCATTAATTCCTACGTCATCAAAATTCTTCTACATCCACTTTATCTTCGAGAGAAGAGTAGGACATACGGCGTGGTTGAAATGGTTGAATTATTAGAAAAGCAAATCAACATTCAAGATGGAATTACACTCATCAAGAAAATTACAAATGTAATGATGAGAGATGAGAACAAGAGCTGGCAAATGTCACTTGCAAAAGCGTTTCAATGGCACCACCAACTAATTTGTATTTAATTTTAATTAAAATTAAATTAAAAGAAAACACCCATGGAGAAAAGTTTTCCTCAAGACGATTTTGTTACGATAGTGGACGAGGTTAAACTGTACGAATTATTTCTGTGAAATTCAATCTCATTTACAGGACGACGGGAGTGAGAATGGAGATCCATCAACAGCAGGAAGCTCGGCTGGCAGTGTCTTTTGTGTGCTCGAACGCGATTATGCAAGAGTAAGAATCATCTTTCACCGTATGAGCATTTTACCTCACACTCCGTTACGTTTTTTTTGTTTTTTTTTTTCGTCCAATTTTTCACGAGACAAGGCTCACTTTATTCTCCGATAAAACACTGGTTGGTATGCTCGAGAGCTCCCGGAAATACCATCTTTCCCATCAATTTGTGTTGAAGCAAGGAGAAATTCTCGCGCAGATATTAGATGAAAATCCAATAGAGGAATTTTATGAACGACGCACATTTTTTACTAGCGCGCAAATTTATTTGACTGAGGAAAATATTATTCTCCATAACTCGATAATTATCGTCTTGCATGTAGATTACGGAGGAGATGAAAGTCAACGAAGCACTGAGAGAATATGCAGATGAGTACACAAGACTCTTTGAGATGTTGTACAAGTGTCGGAGGGACGAAGACGAAATGATGGAAAAATTTCGCCAACTGCAGGTAGGAAAACGGCATTAGTTGTATGAATGATCAATTCTTGTCTTTCATTCCTTTTTTACTGTGGGCAGGATGACGTGATAGATAAGACAAGTAGGGTTTACGAGCTTGAGAGAACAATTGAGGGCCAAGTTGGAACGATAGCTAAGCTCAAGGAAGAGATCATTGCGGCTTCGAAGCTTGCAGATGCGGCCCATACTCGTGAACAGAATGCTCAGGAGACCATTGAGAATTCCCGGCTGACTATTGCTAAGTTAAATCAAGAGATTGAACAGAGAAATAGGCAGCTAGCGCTTGATGAAGAGTAAGTTACATTGAGAATTTAATGAAGGCTGCAAGTGTTGATATTCGCAGGGAATTAAATTTCAAATAATTAAATTTTCCGTTAGAATTAGGTAATTTGCAGTGTTACCAGATCGTAACGTCGGCCCATTTAAAATTGTACAGGATTTGGCTATAAATAGCCAAAATCTGGCAACCCTGGTAATTTGATGACTTTTCGTAATTATAACTCGACCAAAACTTGATAAAAGTAGAGGTGAAAATTGATCTCTCTTTCTCTCCCTCTCTCGACATTATTATTTCAAGGTTCATTTCAAGAACGACTTGTAGTATAATTCGATTTGTAGGATTGACTCTATAAAAATGAGTGGTTTTATGGTAATATGAGAGGTGGAACAAAGGAGAGATGGGAAAAAAGAAAGGTATATAGAATATTTAGCCGCTGGGTTGTACATAGCTGAGGAACCAGTACCCTTTCACATGACCGGGGGGTTATTAGATTTGCGACGAAGGAAAATTGCGTTTGAAATAATTAAGTAAGTGAAATTGCAGTAGCGCGGTCACCAAGCAGAAAGACAGTCTCGTGAAGGAGAAAGAGAGACTGACAAATGAGGTGGAGACACTAAAACAACGAATAAAAAGTATGTCAAAGTACACCGAGGAACTCGAGAAAAAAACCAATGATTGTGATCAGCAGATGAATAAAATGCAAGAGAATATGGATATTCAAATGAACGAAATATCAAAGGAGAGAATCATTCGGGAGAGACTTGAAAAAGAACTTTTAAGTCTTGACGAGCAGGGTAAAGTGAAGAATACACAATTAGCGGTGAGTTGAAATTGTTTTCAAGCATACTAATGGTGGAGTAGTCAATTACGAGTTTCGTTCAGTGGAATTTTATTTCTTTTTTTAATGAAAAAAAAAAAAAAAAAAAAAAAAAAAAAAAAAAAAAAAAAAAAAAAAAAAAAAAAAAAANAAATTAGACAGCAAATGCAACAATTAAAACAATTACGAACAATGCAGCAAAACTCGACAACTCACTTAGAGAGCAAAAAAATATTAATGAAAAACTCAGGAGGGAAGTGAGTAAACTAATGGTCGCCAGAATGAATATACAAACGGAAACGGACAATGCACACCGGAAAATTGAGGAAATGGAAAAGTTACTCAATGAAAAGAACAAAATGTATAAATTATTGGAGCATGAAATAAAGAGGTGAAGAGTCAATGCTTATACTTTTACAACATTTTAATTCTTTCATTAAATTGTCAAATCAATATTGGACCATCGAGTACGAATTATGTTAATTATGTTAATTAGATTGAAAGAGGAAACGGCAAAGTGTAAAGCCGAGAGCAATTGGGCAGCAAACAAGTACTTGAAAATTGATATTGCACGTTCTAAAGTTGAGAAGGACGCTCAAACTCTACGACTCACACTCAAGAACACGGAGATTGAGGTAGACTCACTCAAACGTCAGCTAGTGGATGAAAAGAAAGCAAGTGAAGCGGTAATGCGGGAGAGAGACGCAACAGCAAAGGTTGTACGTAACTTGAAAGAGACCCTCAGGAGGATGCAGCAAGTGATAGATGTATGTGAACAAAGCAAGCGAAAAATTGAATCGGAATTGGAGGAGGCAATGCAGATACTCAATGTTTCCAATAAGAGGATCCAAACGCTGGAGACAGAACGTGAAAAATATAGTCAGGAGATGAAGCAACTCTTTCAGCAGGTAGATTGTTTATCGTAATTCAATTAAATTGTGCACTGTGGCAAGACTATTGTTTGACGGATAAATTCCATAAATTCTTCCCACTCATCCGCGTAATTTTCATTCAAGCAAAAAACAAATAAAAAAAAAGTTAAAACCCTGACTCATCAATATATCGAGTTTCCATTCTCCCAGATAATTCGATTTAACTCGTCACTGAGAAATTTTCCATCATCCATCAGCGCATGAATCTTTTGTGATACCTTCACAATTGCACCCGCATCCATTATTTGATAATTCATTCACTAGCAATGGTGGACTTTATCGAATAAATCGGGGAAAAGAAAGTTTGTTCATGTGAATAATTGATTAATGATATCAATCGACAGGCGAGTCATTATGTGGATCAAGTGAAATTGAAGGACATTGAACTCTTGGAATACAAGAGCCAGTTATCCGATTTGGAGAGTAATTTTCGACAGCAACAGAATCTCTTTGAAGCCATCAGGGCTGAGAGAAACACGTACAGCAAAAATTTGACAATAGCTAAAGAGGATATATCAGAGTTGCGAGATAAAATGAAACTCATGAATGGACAGATTGAACAACTCAAAGAGGATTTAACAACTAAGGAAACTAATTCTACCAAAGCGGAATTTTGTAAGTATGAAAAAAGGCCGATTGTATAGCAGGCGTATTAATAAATGCTTTGGCGTTTGATATCCTCATTAGTGCTGAGTAAAGCGGAAAAAGAAAAGGAAACAGCGAGGCACGAGTCGCAATCTCTTCGTAAAGATCTATTTGACTTGCAAAGGGAAATGGAAGAGCGGATAAAGGAGGAAAAGTGTCTGAGGAATAGTGTCAAAATGGCAGACATGGAGATAAGTCGTTTGAGGAAGGAAATCGATACAATTATGAATGAACGAAATATTTTGGGAACACAGTTGGTGAGAAGGAATGACGAATTGAGTCTGCAGTACAGCAAAATTAAAATTCTCCATGGAACTATTTCTCGGGGTGAAACCGAGTATGTTAGGAATTTGGAGGACATTAAACTCTTGAGATCCGAAGTCACCAAGTTGAGAACTGAAAAAGATATCTTGTCTAAGAATTTAAACAACATTAGCGACCTACGCGTTGAGATATTTCACTTGAATCGAGATTTAACGAGGGAAAGACGGAAGGTCATAGCATTGGAGGAGCAAGTACAGAATCCACTGAACATTCACCGTTGGAGAAAACTAGAGGTGAAGTGAAACAACTTTTTACCTACTTTTTTGCTCCTTTTTTTTCTCATAGAAATTCTAACTCGAGATGTTGATAAAGGCTTCAGATCCAAGTACCATGGAACTGCTCAAGAAAGTTCAGATACTTCAAAAACGCATCCTCAAATTGAGTAGTGAGTTGATAGAAAAAGATGGAAGAATCAAGGAAATGGAAAAATTGTATATGGATCTGCGGGAAATGCTCTCAAAGCAACCGGGACCCGAGTTAATTGGAAACTTTGATAAAACTCAAAAAGCATTGCGGCAACGTGGCAAAAAGATGAAGGTGAGTGGTGCATAAATTGCAGTTATTTTAATTTTTATTCATTTGGAGAAAAAAAAACTGAAAAAAATGTGTGAAATAAAAGGGATAATCAACACTTGATTATCCGATATAGTGTGTAGTAGCAGAACTCAATATGTGGGAGACACGTGCAAATGAGTACAAGTACGAGTTGGAAAGTACGATGAAGGAGCTGCGTGACTTGAAAATTAAATACTACACATTGAAGAGGAAAGACCAGAAGTCAAGGGACTCGATCGTACCAAAGGACACGTGCGACACTTCTCTTCCATCCCTCTCTCCAACCAATAAAAAATTCTGCGGTGGTGGTTTTACCATGACAGTATCACCAACACGAAATTGCTACAGTCTCGAGTCAATCGCTAAATAAATTCCGTATGGCTTCTCAAAATTACATTTTCCCTCCTATTTTCTTCCTTATTACAAATATTTACCATTTCCAATGAGATGAATAAGACACAAAATATACTTTCATAATGTTAGAGAGTAGATGCTGATGTTGCCGGTATATTCGAGTCGTGTTCGCGGAGTTGAGAGTGAAGCTATAAAAGCTCCAATACGCAGAGCTTCAGTATGTATGAAAAAATAAAAATAAAAAAAATAAAAACACAAAGGAATGAAACATTGTAGCTCATATTCTCATACATGACTACCGGTAACAAGAAGCACCAAAGTTTTGTCGCTTGGGAAAAGGGAGGGTGCACATACTCACATGTATAAATACGATAGGTGAAAATGGTAAACCTCTCATGAGTCTTTCATTCAACTCGTCAATTATTTTGGATAATAGCCGACCTTTCTAACATGCCCAGTTCAGAAACAGGAGGTCATTTGATAATTGACAGTTTCTCTTATGGACATTGATTATTTCGGTCTACATTTAATGCTTTTCACAGAACAATATGAGACTAATCTATTTAGACCTGTTCAAATGTTAGTCTCATTCGTATACGACGACTTCTGAAGGAAAAGAAAAGGTTTTTCAAGAGGTAAAAAAAAAAATATATGTAGAATATATGCTCCATTGATGAAGCATATGTTTTAATGGGCACAATAGAGAGATAATAAGGTTTAATGGTTTATGAATTAAATTCCCTGGTGTACTCTTCTTTTATCTGTCTGTCATTCATAACCTTCGCATCAATTAAGGCCACAATTAATTAAAACTCACTTCAGAATTCGCTCTGTGGCGAATAAGCGAATGCACATAACGTGAAAAATCTTTTACATTCACCTGTTTATTATAGTTTGTCGAATATCAATTCTAATACATTATAATTTTAGTCTCTTAATTGAGAATGCACAAACAGAGTAATTCAATGCGTGTGAATACCGCTCATGCGTAGGATACTGAGTGGTTCAACTATACTGTCAATAGTTTGCGAATTTCATGCTCATTAACAATTGTATTCGGGTTGTGAATAAAAGTTTTTATCTCTTGAAAATGAATGAGGAGAGTCTTGAAGTAGCGCTCGTTAGACAGCCAAGAGTACATCCAAGTTGATTATTTGATTAATATGAAAATCGAGGATATTTTTTGAAATTTTTTATTTTAACGCACAATCATTATTTTCATTCTCCTCGTAGCCCGCAACTCCGCCGCCGTTCGTGATAGTATCCTATTCATATCAGAATTTCATTATTATCATCATGTTGGTTAATGATTTTAGGTGTAGATCCTTTGTCCTAGGTAATTTATCACGTATAGGATATTAACTCTAAAGTTATGGGCTGTGGAGCCGTAGGTATCCCATAGGATTAATCACATTGTCAACGAAATTGAATGTACCAGCGGTTTCGAAACTTATCCGTTGTAACTTTATTCACAGCGGTGGTTAATCTACTCATCATAAAGGACTATCGGTTTATCGATATAAAGGTAAACACAGGCAATGTCTCATAATTTGTGCAATTATAGCTGATACAAATGGATTTCTGCGTCAATATAATAACTCAAACTCTGACTCTAACAATGAAATATTGTATAATTAGTTTTCTCAATGTTAGCCATCATTTATTCCAACTTGACTACTCCAGCATTCATCGTCTACTCTGATGTAGATACTTGACCTCGGGCTTCTTTTCAATTTGTATTTCGTAATTGGAATGATTTCATGGTAGGGCAAATTAATTTTCAAACCGATGTTGAACACCATCACTTTGTGGTGATTGGTCTATTAAAAGTTTCACCGCAGATAGGATCAGTGCGAGGTATAACAAGAGGATTCAGTATGAGTAAAGGGCAAGGTGTGAGTCTGTGCGAGGCGATGAAAAGTTTACTGCCAACAGCTAACAGTATTAGATGTGTCTGGGATTTTTTTCGCCCCCAAGTGTGTGACCATTAGAGAGAGAGAGAGAGAGAGAGAGAGAGAGAGAGAGAGAGAGACAGCGGTTTTTCCTATCGTAAAAAGGAGAAAAAAAATCGATCTCGATATATCTCGAAAATCTCGAATAAGCGTAAGCGTAAGACTGAAACCGAAGCGCCACTACGCGAGGAGATGAGAAGGCGCGTGCGCAGCACGCGCGGCCGATCTTGTATATTTAAAAAACATGGTTTAATCGAAACAATATAATTATTCAATGATTTCTCTCTTGTGGAATCGAATGGGAGAGGTTTGATTTGACCGCTTATTCAGCCACATTAACTACAGTATTGAGTAGTTGCGGGCTCAATTCGATGGATATATGTAACAGTATCATTAGGATTATTACACAGGTGATAACGAGCTCATATGTAGCATGACTGTGGCGAGTGCCGGCAAAGCAAGTAATGGCTGGTGAAGCATGTACAAAGCTGTTTTAATGAAGATGAGTATACTTGGCGCATTTGTCGGTTTGCTTGGATGTGTCATGATTAAATATACTAAATGGATTAGATTAGAGATTATCCATATAGAAAATGAAGGATGCAGCATAATTACTCCAATTTGCTAATAAATTAGTCAGCTGTATGGCATTCAAGAGTAAATTGATATTACAATACATAATAATGTCCGAGAGGATGAAACTCGGGTTGAGCATTAATTTTTTCATTAACATCATTTTATAAATTGTATCATATAACTCGTGAGAAAACTTTGACAAAGTTGGAGGAGGGAATATTCAGTTTGAGCATGAAATATGAAATATATCGTCCACGGATAGATTTATCCGTCAACATGAGTTACCGCTGGCATCCAAGCTACATCCGAAAGGCCCGTAAATTGCATAATTTCGCGGTTAAACTGGGAAATTGCTGTTATCCCTCTTGCGTCATCCAGCAACTGCTGTATAAACAGAGAGTTACCTTTACCAAAGGCCTTATTTTACTCACACCTTGATCATTCGCAGCAAGCGCATCTCTGTTCCACCAAGTCGACCCATTATACGACTTGGTTATAATTATTTTCTTCATTGAATTGTCGTGGCAAAAGTAAATAAACTGTAATAGAAATCTCAATGTTTCTTAATTGGCCTATCTCGTATTAGCAAGTATCATTGTAAACTTTGAGCTTAATGAAAATTTATTTCCCTGTTCATCCCCTTTTATACATCATGTCCCATCAAAACTTGTTATCCAAATTCGCTATTCGTTATTTTTAGGAGACTTTGAGGGAATGAAATTGTTTCCATTCTCTCGTCACAACGTTTTTCAACTAAAAACTCTTGACGGAAATGTGCCTTACAAAGCCTTGAATAATCGAAGGCTTTCTCTCGTTTTCCTCCCCTTCCTTATCAATCTTCAACAGAGGTTTTGATGCCGGATTTACCTCAATCCATCCATTGATTTTTCTATTCCCTCCATCTTTTATTTACTTTGTCGTTTCTTTTTCGTCATCAAAGCTTACTTCCATCCGGTCTGCCCCTTTTTCAAATCATTTCTGAATCCATCAATCGATTGAAAAGGAGAAGAAGAAGACAAAGAAGAAAAAAGCAACTCCCAACGACTGTCATTCAAGCCGGTGTTACTTCTCACTCAACATTGTTGCTTTTGGCATCATACACCGTCCGTTTGTCTGGTCTCTATTGACCTATTTCAAATGTTGAGGCAGATAAACGCTTGAGTGTGTATAGTCATCCTCTCCCTAAATGGGGAGTCAAGCCAAAACCACCTCTGAATTCTACGGCAAAAGTTGACCCCTTCGAAGGGGACGACATTACGCAAAAATATTCTTTATCCAGCACCCATACCAATGGGTTTCAACTAGACAACTGTGAGTTTTGTATTTGCAGATCGAGTTTTACTCAATCCCTCGACTCTCCATGATTTCCACTGTACATAGTTTTTGTTATTTTCAACGGAAAAAAAAGTTTTGACAGACGGATTAAAGAAATATATTGCGACAAGTTTTCTTCACATCTCCCTGCATAAATCCGATGAGTATGGAGAAAATCCGTATACCCCCGAGACTGAACAACGTGTTGAAACTTTTCACTGTATATAGGAAAAAAGTTTCTATACGAGGATGATACGAGTCTTTGGTTTTTCCATCTTTTTATCCTTGCTAACTGCTCCAGTTTGAATACTACGCCATTATATAGACGCCGCCATGGTTCATGAAAAAATGAAACAAGTTCATAACTGCTCTGTTTCTGGGAAATTTTCTTTTTTTTTGTATTAGATTTTTCCTGTTAAAAATGAACATGTTTCTTGAAAGAGAAAATTTCACATGTATGTCGCATGAATGAAATTACAGATTAAGCAGCGCGTAGAAGCCAAGCGACGTGTAAATGGCAAATATACTGCGATAAACTTTTAACAAGGTCTTGATGACAGGAGTTGAATAGAGCCATAATAGAACTGACCTAATTGAATACTAACGTGTGTACCGGTTTGTATCTCTTTAAGAGAGTTGCACCACGAAAAAAATGCATGAGATGAGTATTTAATTCATATTTCAAAAATATCATTCAGTGTGAGGTTTCAGTAGACTTATTGAATTTCTTCATGAATAAAAAAAAAAAACAATACCGCTATAAATTATTGTTTAGCTAATTTGGATGAAAGTGCCACATTGTATTTTTCTAAAGAGAGAAAATAGTCTCGGAACTTTATCATTTATTAGCCTCTAAAAAAATGAGGGATTTCCTTGTTGGGTCTCTCTAATAGTCATCTCGTGATGGCTTAATAATTTAATATCAGAGAGGTAATTTCCCGGAGATTATTATTGGTGACCGAGTTGACCCTGAGTTTAGTCGCATTTTGTCAGTGTTCGATTAATTGTTTCAGTCAAAATATGGGGTGTTTAACCCCTCGTTCACAGCATTTCCGTGATCATCCATTATCACTCACGTCAGTATCGCAACCACAGACGCGTCTCCAGTTATTCAAGCAAGTTTTACCCCAACCACGACACGCAATAGTCTCGTAAGGATTAGAGTTTTACGAGTTTCAAGATTCGCACTATCAAATCAGCATCAGTGGCATCTTAATGATTTGATGATATTTATGTCATGATGAATTTCATCATGCAGAAAAGAAAAAGAAGAGGGGAGTTGATGAAACAAAAATTGGCACAATACCGTATATTCGTTTATAGACCTATCTAGACCTTTGCAATAAAAATATCGGCCAAGTGAATATGCTGAAGGGTTTACATTTTTAATCTGAAAAATCCATTCGATGGAAATAAAGGACCCTTGACGTATATGCGGAGCACTAAAAAATATATGAATTCTTGCGATTCAAGTGTATCCGTAGTACGAGGGGTGGGCAATAAAACCAAAAACTATTATGTCAGAAAAACATCTGCAGCGGAAATTGAATCGTCCGAATTTAAAAAACAGAAATACGCTACACTTGATATCCTCAACTCGCGAATTGCAGTTTACCCATTACAAAAACCCAATTTTGCGGTAGGTTTGATTTTGTAGCCATTAAGGATCGTTAGTAGTCATATATAGAGCATTGTGTGACGTCTAAATTTCAGTGCTGATGCAATATTGATTAGCCGGCGGGAATTGATGCATTATTCCAGCGCTATTATTATTCTCACTTTCAACATCAATATGAAAAAGCCGATTAATTGAAAACATTTGGTCAGGTAAGTTTGATTTGTCCAGCTTTCATTCTATCTTTGAGCGTTATTTCATTCAGCGACATTTCACGGGTGAAGATTATCATATTACACTATCATGACTATCATCTCATAATTCTGTCATTTAATCGAGTTTAAGTACCGCGAGAAACACACTACTTGACTATGTATAGCCGGAGGCATGAATTCTCCCGGTCTCCCATTATTCTAAGCTAGGCATGGAGTGTGCTTCCGAGTTACGTCCTACGCCCAAGTTATGATTTATGCGAGGCTTTAAAAGCGCATCTGCACCCAAAATTCCTTCACACTACCAACCAGGTATTTGGACATTCTTAGGGACGCTAGCTGTCCAAATGCCTGATGCTTCCACTCATTGTAATTGCTATTCAATGTGTACGCTGCTTGTTGTAAGCATTATCATTACAGTTTGTTTGCTTACTGAATTGGATGCTGAATATGGCCGTTCACCAGCAGAGCTGTTAACATTCGGGTCAACTATGCATCTATGCATTTAATTCAATTAACTGGCCAAAAGAGAGAGAGAGAGAGAGAGAGAGAGAGAGAGAGAGACAGAGTCCAGCTAATTTAAATGCTCGTTAGTATAGGTAGAATTGTAGGACCTCATAGGTAAAAGAAGACCTCTCACTCTGTACATGACTATGGGATCGATCATTAATTAATGAGCGATTGCCACATCAACACTATTATGTTTCGTGGGAATTTTACCTTTGTTTCAGCACCTGATGATCGTCAAAGCTCTGAAAAATATATATATTTTTTTCACCAATGAAATACTTTTCAAGGGCTATTTCAATGCGAATTTCATTATTTTATATTCAAGAGGTGTGTTATTTGCACGAGTAATTGGTCATGAGTATCAAATCAAGTATTTTAATATATTGGGAGAATACTAATAACAATAATAATAATAATAATAATAATAATAATAATAATAATAATAATAATAATACAACTCAAAATACTCAGTAGCAGCATCAGTCGTATCGCGAGCTTCAGTTATTGCTCGTAGCAAATTGTGTCTGAGCACTTAATTCCACAGTCAAAGTGAATCCTCCGCCTGCTGCCACCACAACAGCGGAGGGAGATAGAATGTAGCAGAACACGCAATAAACTTGGAAATCTCTCTCCCTTGAGCAGTTGAGACGTTACTTGCATTGAATAAACAATGAAATAGCAGAGTCATCACAAAAAGGCATTAGTAAAATTTAGAGTCTCATTGAAGGCCAACTGCACGACTCTTTTCTTGTCTGCCCAGTTTACCAAAAGCAATAGCTTAAGATCGTATGGCATGCAATGGGCCAAGACTCACCCCCGCGTACATTTGCGATGCACCTGGCACGCTAACGTCCCTCCCATCCTAATGCTACACAAGAGGACACTCACGTCTCGAGTTACCTTGGGAGAGGAATTCCCTCTACTACTTTTTTTTCTCTATACAATAGAAATTAGTTTAGAAAGAGCTGTTTAAAAATGTTAAATATCGCTCGATGAATCCTAAACAAATCGACCATATTGGAAGCGGTAGAAATAGATTAAATAAGGGCTGATCGGCGGGCTCCATCGCAGACTCAATCCCCCAATGAATAAAGTATTTCCACTCTCTTTTATCAGACTATCTTTTTTTTTTCAGAATTATTCAGAGACATGAAAATCCTTTCGTGACTCCCACTATATTTTTTGTAAGAAATAAGGTGTGGAGAGATGAAGGGCTTTATTCAATTTCCAATGATATATTATTGCTTGCTTTGGAGAATATAATACATGGCTGATAATCGACGTCGAAAACACGGATGCGTGTAATTTATTCCTTCTGAAGAAGAGAGTACATATTTAATGAATATATTCGAAATGCGAGAGATGAGAGAAAAAACTGGCTGAAATGTTATGATGTGGGATTGCTCCTAGTAATCACTCAGCATTTGTTTATATTGAAATAACATGCGTCCCTTAACGCGTTACCAGTCAACTCCAACGAAATATACCGGTATGCAGGGCGTTACGTCACACAAGGAATCGTTTTCCGGATAGGGTAATAATTTGGCGGCGCCGCGCTTGCGCTGCAAGCCACCTCCGGGTCAACGGCAAGAACGTCGTCCCAGTCTAGTTGTACGACGCACGCCAGGAGAAACCGACGTATGACATACCTAGTTGGTGTGTTCTCCAATCTTCCGATAAGCCAAAAAAAAAGGCCGAACAAGTAATGAGAAAAAATAAAAATCAACATTCGCCGGGCAAATCTACATCATCTACATCATTTGAAATTACATTAAAAATTTGCAATTGCAAATTTGAAAAAAATAAAAAATTGAAAAACTTTTAAACAAAGAATTAATGAACTCGTAGAAATGGAAATGTATTTTGAAAGTGCAAGTGCCGGAAACTTTGTTAGTTTAGTGGGAAAATGAAATTATGGTGAAAATTTATTCAAGTGGAAATGGAATTGGAGAAAAAATGAGATTTTGTTAAATCGTCCTATCATCAATTGGCTGGAAAATGTGAAAGAATTTTGTAATTTATACTGAATAATGAAAATATCGATAACGCTGCACGCGGTGCGGCGATCTACGTGTATGAAAAAATTTATAATGACTGGAGGAACCGGATCAGGATGAAAGACTACGAATGTATAATGTCCAGTAGGATTTCCATGTTGAACAAGGGATCACAACCAGAAACCGCAGGCGGTTACTGCAATTAACGTATCACCTTTCATCGGTTTTCATCCACGTTTTGCACTACCAATTATATGATTTCATTTGGTAACCAGTACAGTCCTGTTTTACGTTGGTCAACCAAGTCAACCAAGTGTGGATATATAAGCAAAGAAATCCCAAATAATGATATATTATTGAATTATTCAAGTGAAAGATAATCATTGAAAAATAGAGAAACACCGCATCATGCAAGCATGGTAAGGTATTTTCCTCATATATATTTCTAACTGCTTCAATGGAATCTCCCTCGTGCTATGGCAAATTTCCATTCTCCTTCAATACCACCAATTTCTGGATGAACGAGAGGGGCGACTGAAGTCAAGGGGATATGGAACTCTCTCTCTCTCTCTCTTCAGGGCTCAACCATATCTCAGCCTATTTCTTGGCCATTAGTGAAACCCCTCGAGATTCGAACAATTGATTCATTCGATGAACGGTTTTTAATCTTCAGCTTTTTCACTATGATGATGAGAAAAAAAATAACACAGTTTCCGGGTTGATTGACACCAAACCAGGGGATGATTATGTTTCCGAATGGATATTTATTCACCCTTTGTTGAGTTTTGCGCCGCAAAAGTTATATTGTATGAATTAATATTCAACAATAATTATTGTTAATGGACAAAATATTGATGACAAGTAATATATTAACAATCAACAGGGGAGTTGTAACATAACATGCTACTTCGTAAAGCTCCCTTCTCGTATACCATATTAGGGAAAGGAAAAGGAAACACCGTTGAGGTAGGTTCCAACAGAATCCCGTGACGATGGAAAATTGAATTTTGGTCCCAGCCCGCACAAAGTTTACCCAACTGTCAGTGGGTTCGTTCCAATCAGTATTACATCTTCAATGTTAATAGAAAACTATTCAAAACATCAACTGCGATGCTTTTAAAGCGTCAAAAAGAAAAAATCAAACTATATATTTTGTCAAGACGAGTTTCATACACGATGTACACTATTGCGTGTATGCTATATAGTTGACCTCATGTAAATTTCAGTGGTCCCCAAAATTCTCCATTATTACTCATTAATTTTGTGCAAGCAGCCAGCCCTATATGGATAACCGCGGGATAAGTGACATATTCGGTATTATTATATATCGGCAAATGTCATTGTAGTTTGTATTTTTCATCAAATTGCACGCTGCAAGTTGAAAAAGTGCAGGAAATACTTTACTTTGCCTTTTTGAGTTATTGAGTATTCATTTCTTATTGAATCATTTTTCTCGCTTCTCTTCCATTAAATTGTAGTGTGAAAATTGCCGAATTAGAAGTGCTGACGATAAAAATTTTTAATCACAATGAAATCCTACACCGGATTAGTGAATGAAAAACAAAACCAATTACTATAGACATGATGAGTTTAGTGCGACAACATATAAAAGACATGCAGTTCGTATTCGTATTCGGGTCAGAGGATTAATGCATCCCGTCGAATATTACCCTCATGAAAAGAGACGGGTGGAATAAAATACTACGACGTAAAATTTCATTATCATCTCGTCATAGAGCATGAAATTGAAATTATATTCCACGGATGGTGCGCAACGCGACACATCGCATTATGTGCTGCATAAAATGATTTTTTTTTTTTTTTTTTTTTTTTGATTGCCCTTCACAGTGAAAATTATTACTTGTTTCAATATGACCTAAGCACAAATTCCTCACATTTCTTCATTTCTACATCTTCTTGGAATGGTTTGTAAAAATGATCAATTACGGGGTAAATTGTGGAAATTTTCTATGTAGCCCGAAATAGAACTATATTACAGGAGAAGTCAATATTTAACCGTCACGAATATAATCTAGGATCACGAGGAAGAGACTTAAATGTGAGTCGAGAAGTTCTGCCCTCATCTCATTTAATACAGGATATTGCATTTCTTTTTTCCTTCTTTTTGCGCATTCGTTGTCCCACAAGATTCAGTCGTATCATTATTCCGAGTGCAATATTTTCAACTGGGTGAAAAGATTCCCACTATACAGAGCTGAAGAAAATCCCACGAGTAGGTATTTCACAACCCAAACCCGGGCATATGTACAACATTTGTCTTCCAAGAAATCAGACGAATCTGACACATTTTTTTTGTCACATCATCTTGAGATGAATATGAAAGAGATACATCCGATAGTACTGCTCTATTAGCACAAGATCAGTTTTGTTTTTCTGTTAAATGTGTCTAATCCGAAACTCGAACCGACGGAATATTTTCCAGACAATAAATTCTCACACGTATGTATTGGAAATATTTAAAGAGCTATTTCATGTATTTTTCGGAAAAAAAAAATCACTTTAATCGTTTGAATAATGAAATAAACGTGATGTTTACTTACTAGAATGAAAAAATTCAAGAATTATTATATACTATTAAATATGTTATACTGATGTTGAGTTGATTGTGGAAGAAAAAGTCCTTCACCGCAGACGGATGTAAAATGGTCTGTGGAATATTAATGATTCCTACATTATTGGAAAACTATTATTCTCGGTGTATGCTATAGTCAATTCCAGACGAGCTCTAGAGCTTTGCTTCTATTCCCTCGTGTGTGCATTGATGCTACCACAACTACAATTACAATTACATTTCGCGCACTCGGCATTTTCGATTATAATTCTGCCAGAAATTTACTTTTTATTCTCCCAAAAGGATAACAACGCTTACCATAATTATATTTTCTTACTGCAATTCATGAGTATTTGTAAATATTCCACCGATCAATTAAAAGATTGAGAGAGGTTGAATCCGTTAAAAAAACCCAATTAAATGATTTTTTTTACATCATTTATGTCATTTTTATCAGCTACATTGCATTTTTGTCTCATTATTGAAAAGTCTAACCAGTAATAAATAGTTTAAATTAATGCCCATTGGCATAATGCATAATTACTGACTCTTAAAAAACCAAAGAATTTCTATATAAATTTCACCCAATAGTCAGGAAAGTCTTGATCCTTTTTATTCTTTATTCTTTCAATTGTTGGAATGACAAATTGAAACATACGAGTATGTTGAGTATAAAATTAATAAAATTCGATTTTTTCCACTTGGTTGCCTGACTACTATTAAATAATTGACGCTATCAGTTGCCGTGGAAATAAATATAAATGAGAACAGTGTCACATCAACTGGATAGAATATTCATTGTACGCGCATTGGGAGCAATTACTCTGTAAACATTACATTCAATATCAACATGAAATTCTCATCATTTCGGGATACGTGTTTACAATTGTTCTATAACATATCTCGAAATGATTAATGTCCATATCCAGTGACATCGGTGCCGGATGGATCCAAATAACGTGAATACACATCAGTATATTATTGTTGCTATTTTTTTCAACGAATGGTGAAACTGAATAGAATAAATCTTGAATACACGCAAATGATGGCGAATGTATATGAATGACAAGGAGAATTAATAGGCCATTTATGAGATTGACGAGTGAGTGATCATGTCGCAGGCTTATTGTTCGTTTATTCGGCATGACTTGGTTCGATGGATGCTCGTAAAAGACACATAGCTCCCGCTTTGGGAAAATAATCCACCTCTCCAGTTTCCCTCTCCGGCGAGGATTTGTGTAACATCTCACTCGAATACATATATATATATATATATTTATCACAGATCCGTCCAGACGGAAGTACGATAAAGCACAGTTTTCCCGCTGCCACCACCGCCGCCACCGCCACACGAAACGAGGTAGTGAAACAACTTGCTATCTGTCTATACATGAGACAATATAGTCTTGCCCATTGGCAATATAGTTGCCAATATAGTCTTTTTTCTATGCGTCGTATGTGAATAAATTTGGATATTATTCGTTATTTGACAATTATCTCTAACAGTTGATGAAAAATGAGAAACAACCGCTATTTCATTTGTCATTGCTATATAATTATTTGAAATAATAAACATCATATCAACAATATTTTCTCATTCTCGGCTGTTGGAGTATATGTGATGACGAAACTCTAAGTGTAGCAGAGTTTCTGCGTACAGTTATCTGCCAAAAGTAATTGAAGAGTAACTGGAGTGTAAGAAAAAACAGTGAAATAACACTGTTCATGTATTTTTTGTAGGTAATAAAAACAAAAGGGATTCTTCGTTGAGGACATGAAAATGTATTCTGTCCAGCTTTCTGTTTGTCTAGTGCTTTCTTTGAATAATCAAATGGCGCTAAAAAAAATCTCTTTTACCACGGGTGAGTTGCACAAAGAATTTTTTCATTATTATTCTCATTTGTATCTGTCGAGGGTGTTTTGAAAATCATTGAAAAATGGAATTATTCGCGTTCAAAACATCCCATCATTCATTTTTAATATGTCATAAATCGGTATATACATATATTGTATAGAAATTCATATTGTTGAAGAATTTTTTTTGCCTAGATATGCAGAAAATTAAAAATGTAAAAATCATTATTGTCTTAGTATTGATTAGCAAATAATTAATTGATAAATTTTGATTTTATTATAGAGCAAGTGTAGCAGGACAATGTGCAGAAGTGGGCAGTGAAAAGTGATAGAAAGGTTTTTATGGTGGGCTCTTTGGGGGAGAAGGAAGAGAAAGAACAAACGTGAAAAGAGTATAGATGCCCGGGCTGCCGGGATTGCAAGATAAAGTGGGGTGGGCAGAAGGCCGATATACAAGAGAGGATGACCTAGTCGTGTGGGAGTGGGGCGCTTGGGATGCTCCGGATTATCGGTTAAGATCGGATGGAGGGGAAGGAAGGAAGTACGGAAAATACTTGGCATCTAAATGTCACGCCGATTACAGTTGTAGAGGATACAAACAACTTTTTCGGGGGTTTTCCTGGCAAAACTTCCTCCTACACAACAACCCAGGTAATCACACTAATTTCTCGAAAACATATCATCATAATTGCAGATAAAGAAGATAAAGAAAGATATATATTATAATTTTAGGCAATAGTGGTTGCATTGGTACTTGGAAGCATCGTAATAGGCACCGTAATAGGAAACATACTAGTGTGTGTGGCGGTATGTTTAGTTCGAAAATTACGACAACCCTGTAACTACTTACTCGTGAGTCTAGCAGTGAGTGATCTCTGTGTTGCCCTTTTGGTGATGCCAATGGCACTGCTATACGAGATATTGGGCACCTGGTCATTTGGACAATTTCTATGTGATCTGTGGGTGAGCTTTGATGTTCTCAGTTGTGCAGCGAGCATTCTCAATCTTTGTATGATATCCGTTGACAGGTGAGACATACAACTGTAAAAAATCTCCTTTTTCCTTTTTTTATTTAAATTTAGAAAACCGATTTTTAATCGTGGCTTCTTTTCGGCCGCATATAGAGCAACAAAACAGCTTATATGAAACGAGATAACACGAGTAGCAATTTGGCTAACGACTTTTGCCTTTTTTACAATTCAGCCAACGTGTTATCTGACTCGAATGGCGAACTCACCTTCCATTTTTACGCTACATATTCTAGACGTATAATGTGTCTAGTTGAGGATAAAACGTATATATATAGTTTGGATTATTTTGTCTTTCTTTTTCTCCTCTTTTATATTCTGTTTTATTTTCTCCAATGGAAAGAGCTGTCCCCAGAAATTTTTTAGCATGTGAGTACGAATATTTATCATTTCGGTAGAAGTATTGGAATTATTATTTATCTTGTTTTTTTTTTTTTTTTTTTT